TTTTTTTTTTTTGCAAATCTATCCATAAAAATTTCCACCGCTATCCATATCTTCGGTATGTAAATATAGGTTTTATCGTAATAAGTTTCTCATGCGATTGATGACAAGTATTGATATGTATCGTTAATTAACAAATGGCCTTTTTACGATAGTTTAAGTTTCTCTTCATGATAACGGCGGGATGAATATAATGATTATTTGACATATGTATCAACACATAATTCAGACATTTTTTTTTCTTTTTTTTTCCTTTTTTTTTTTTTTTTTTTTTTTAATAAGCGTGACTTTTCTAAAGGAAATGACAAATAGCGGACGACGAAGAGGACGATGGAGATGTTAGAGTTAATTTTCGATCGATATTAATTATTGACATGAATTATATGCGTCGTGTATTCCTACGTTTCATTGTCCTACGGCAGCCGGCATTATTTTGTAAAGAAGAATAAAAATAAATTGACAAATGTACAAGAACCGTACGACTATTCATTATTCTCTCACTCTCGTACTTGTCAATTTTAAATATAATATTTTTCTTTAATCTTAATTAATAAACATCTTATTTAACAAACTATTCTCAATATGGTTAAAAAAATCTTTTGTTTGGAATTTTGTATTGTATAAATAATTATTTCTGTTTTCGTCTTCTTTATTAATGAAATACAATATTTCGATCCAAATATAAGGAATATAAAATTTCATAACATAGAATAAATTGTGAACTGACAAATATTCAAAGAAGTATAAAAATATTCAGGTATATCCTTTCTATGAATCGTCTTGTTCTTTTTCGCCTTTCACTTTTTCTTCGTAATATTTTAATATAACTCGATCTGGAACAAGAGAATAAGATGGAAGATAAAATAAAGCTGAATGAAAATTTGGAAAATTTAATCCTATTTAACTCTCGTAGAGGAAAGTGTGATTAAATGCTCATGACAGAATTTCATTCTTGAAAGATTATCTGTTCCGGAAGCAGAACGACCTTCACGAGATACGTGATTGCGTTCCAATCTGGTTTCAAGATTCTTTGTCCAAGAAAAAAATTAATTAGGATCGTTTTTATCCTATTCGTGTGGGAAAAAGTTTAATTTATCGATTGTATAAAATAATTGATTAAAATGGATAAAAATTATATTCTCTGAATTTTTCAAGAAGCATATAAAATGGACAAAATAAAATTAAACATTACAAAAAAAAATTTTAAAAAAATCATGAGTTTTCCAATTTTTAACAGCTTTAAAATAACTTGATGAATTATTAAAAAAGTTGAAATTTATAGGGGAAAAAAAGACAAGATATTAAATATTTACCTCAAGCTTCGTTTATTGGTATATAAAAATGAAATGGATTAATCCGAAGATTTCCTTGAGAAATTTTAAACACAGATATCTTAGGTTCATTGATAATCGAAGGTTTAAATTGATTCTTTTTCCTTCTTGCATTAAACTCCATCTGACGTGTTGAAAGTAATTTTATTCTCCCTGTTAAAATAATCCATTAAAAAAAAAAAAAAACTTACAGATCCTTGCAATGCATCATTCTTCCTTAACCTATCTTCTTCTTTATGTTCCATCTGTTTCGTTCGTGGTTGACCAGTTTGAGCAACGACCACTCCTTCGATGTTTTGCATCTAACAGTGAAAATATATATAAATGGTATCGAATAATGGAATCAAATAAAGAAACTCAAGATCTAATCTACATCAGTTTTGCCATCAATCTTACTGAATTGGTGAACAATATCCGGAAACCGTGCGTTGCATCAGCGACGTACTCAACTGTCTGAATAACTCCTGCGTCATCGATGTAACTGTAAGCGCCTCGTGTTTCGCCGTTCGACATTCTGATTTCCGACCTCGCTGAGTACGGGCTACTGTAACCAAAACTGTACCGGCCGAAACTGTCCTGGTACGTGAGGATCGGTGCAGCTGGCTGGGCCAAAACGGAAGAAATGAAGCAGTAAGAGAAAAGAAGGATCTGTAAATAAGGACACTCGTGGTTAAATTTTGATAATTTTAACAATTAAACAATAATAATCAATTAAATGTTAAATTAGTATCGTTAAATTTTAGCGGTTGAGTTACATTAAAAATTAACAATCGAATATTTCATTTTGTTCGAAGAATATTTATTAATTGTTTATTGTAATTTCTGTTAAAATAAATTTGTTGGGAGTTTTGAAGTTTTTTTAAGAAAGGTAAGAAGATTAATATTAGAAGAAAAGGCGGTTATGAAAAATAGAATCGCAGTTATTTCTTAAATTGAATCGAATTGTCATTTATTTAACAATTAATCTTAGAGGAGGATAAAATTCAATGTCATCATATTATCTTTAGATAGTATATATATATTAAATTCCAATCTATCAAATTCTAATTTATAATCTTTTTCTTAAATTATAATTTCAAAACTCAATAAACTATAAAAATTCTAATCAATATTTATTTATAAATTTCAAATGCTATTCTTATTCAGATGCTATTTCAGATTATCAGACTAACAACTGTAAAGAACTGACGATATATTTCGTCGATTTCTAAAATCCATTTTATTTTATAACAAAATCTATTTTATTACAAAATCTAATAAAAATGAGAAGAGAATGACCTTCGTAACGATCCTTTATCGATTCCACTATCAATCTCTAATCTAAGACATTGGACAAACGCTCTTAAATCTAACCAAGGAATAAAGATCTTTCCAACGAAGCAAAAGCTTGAGAGACACTGCTCCATCCCCCATGATACCAGACCATTTTCACCCATATCTATCTATGTCCAGAGAGGCCTGAAGCCATTCCATTCCATTCCATTCACCCACGCGACCACACTTATTCCTTACGTGTACGCTCTTCATGGTGATTCGATTCGATATCTTGTAAATTCCAGCCACGTATTGCCCACTTTATATAGAAAGCACGCAAGCCAGGAGGGTGTTAGCCTGATCGCGGAAACACGAGGATCAAAGGTGCAACGAAACTGGTCGAGCTTGTGCCCAAGGACTCACTCGGTTGGAATCCGGCTCTGGAAACATTTTCACCGGGCCTTTTTTCACCTCTTCGAAACCTGAACACCCCGCCATATCCTAATATGTACGTCTCTTCAGGGCCGTCTTGGCACAAACATCCGCCTGCGCTCGAAGGAATCTTCTCATCGTCGCCATTTTCTATCGTCATAATCTATGAGCCAAGATATTTTTCTCGTGGCGCTAGCTACATAGAAGAATGCACAGAGATTTGTTGTGAGGAAGAATTTAAAAGATCGTTTAAAAGGAGAAGTGGCTTCGAACAGGATATTTATTAACGTGTTAGAGTATTGTGAAGTTGAATGGCTGGATTGGAATTCTGTTTGGGGGGGGGGGGCAACATATGTTGAGGTTAGGGAATTTTTTGTGAGAAAAGATGGCGTTGAATGGGTAATAGAGATTTTAACTAGAATTTTCAGAGTATTTTGAATTTCGATAAATTAAATTTTGTAGACGATACGAGATTCTGTCCGATGCAACATCAAAACGAGATGAACAACCTTTTTTTATTATTATTTTCTGTTCTTATATATTATATCCGTGAAAGGCAGAATCCGGCTAATAAGATTCGTCGCTGATGCCTCGAAGAAAAAAGTTAATAGGAACATAAAGCGTGTAATGGTGTCGTTGTTGAAACAACAATTTTAATGCTAAGAAAATTCAGAAAATTGCATCACGTTAACGGTTTTAAATACATTTTTATAAATAAGTATATCAATACATTATTTTATACGTAAGTATGTTTCATAGTAATAAGTTCAATAATTAAGATATTAAGTACTTACTAAGTAAGATACTAACTATTAAAATTATAGAAGCTTAGTATTAATTCATAAAATTGTTAAATTTTGCATAAACATAATAATTAATTTATTTATTTCAAATACAATTTTGTAGGAAGTTAATGCCATTATGGCATCTGTCTACGAATCTTCCGTTTTGTAATCATTTGTCAGGCTATTTGCATACGATCCTCGACCCAAATTCAATGCAATCGATTCTAAAATTGCCGCGATATTAATATGTATCAATTCCCTTAGACTACCGTGTCAAAGTGAAATTGAAGCTCGGATTTCTTTTTTTTTTTTTTGTCAAACAAATCGTGAATTTATTGCTAGTTGAAAGATAAGATACTCATCTGTCTGGTGATTTAGTCATTAATTTATTGGTTTCAAGTATTTTGTAATAAGATTTTATAGTAAATATATATATATATTGTTGTCAATTTCTCTTGTAATGATTATTCATTTTTCGATTCGTTTATTAAAAATTACTCATCAATAACAACACGATAATTTCTTCAAAATTCACTTTATTTAAACCAGTCTACAATCATCGTTCGCTTCTACATGGCAGTTTCAACAATCCCTTTATCATCCCTTCGAAAAAATATCAAAATTAAAAGGATCACAAAAAGGATAGAAAGCAACGATCAAAACGATTAATTTGCTTGATTTTTCATAGCCCATTTTTTCTCCTTTTTTTTTTTTTTCTTTTTTTCTCTCGAATCTAAATAATTAAACGATAAAACAGAAGCTGGCCAATCGAATCATTGGAAGAAAAAAAAAAAAGATATACCTTCTTCGAGAGAACATAACCGTAAATCGTTCCCCATCCATAGCCCATGTTCCCCTCGCTACGAGCAACTAATAAGTATCGACTAATTAATCACGAATGATCCTTCGTTTATTTTTAATTAACACGTTCACTGCGATGATCAAATCCTCGGTACCTACATATATTCTAACACGCTAACACGAATAATTTTCATACAAAAGCTATTTCTACGTCGCAAAAACTTTACACACACATATATATATATATATATATGAATCACTACTTAATATGGATTATTATGAAAGCTTTTCCTGCCTTTTCTCGACAAAATTTCATGATTTTCTCCGTGTGAGTAAAAGTACGTGCCGATTCGAATAGAAAGACGCAAGCGGTGAACGTGTCAGAAACGATATCAGTTAATCAATAGACGAGGCGTCCATAGGCGAGCGCGGGGCCAGCAACAGCAAGGACGTCGGCAGACTTGGCTGCCTCGTTGGCCAGGTTCAGTTTCTCGTTCAGATGAGCGTTCGCGTGGGCTGCTTTCGCCACAGCCACTTCCTGGGTGTCTTGCACCCTGCCGTCAGGGCCGATGGGCGCAGCGGGCACCACAACGGCGTTGCTGGCCACAAGGGGTACCGCGACTGCCGGGGCAGCCGTCACTATCGTCCCCGATGATCTGGCCGCCTCGTTCGCCAGGTTGATCCTCTCGTTGAATTGGGCTGCCGCGTGAGCCGCCTTCGCCGCAGCCACTTCCGGTGTGTCCTGCACTCTTCCATCGGGGCCTACCGTTGCCGCCTGGATCACTGCCGGAGCCACTATCCCGTTGGTGACCAGAGGTACCAGCGGTCTAAAAAGCGATTCTTACGTTTTAACCATCGATCCTACAAATCCTCGAGGATCAATAAATTCGACCGAGGATAAGAATAAAAAGCCCCCTCTTTCTCCGGTTTAAAAGAAAGGAAGGAAGAAAATCACCTGTTGAGATCCGCAGCGACCGACCTAGCTGCCTCGTTGGCCAAATTCAGCCTCTCGTGCGCCTGAGCCGCGGCGTGGGCCGCCTTCGCCACGGCTACCTCAGGCGTGTCGACCACCCTTCCGTCAGGACCGAGAGGCGCTCCCGGTACCAGAACGCTCGGGGCAGCTACCAACAGGGAGGACTGTTTGAGCGTGACTGTCGCCTGGGACGACGGGCCTCCTCCACCCGATCTGGCCGCCTCGTCGGCCAGCTTCAATCTCTCGTTGAGATGAGCGGCCGCGTGCTCCGCCTTGGCGACGGCCACCTCCGGCGTGTCCAGCACACGGCCGTCGGGCCCAACGGGCGCCGCCGGGGTCAAAGTGGCGATCAGGGGCCCGGACAAGATCCCCGGCTTGGCAAATGCCGGGGAGACCAGGCACGCCAACAGTAAACCGGCAACCGGACCCATGACGACGGTCATGGTTCGAGACGTTGTTTAGGCTGATCTGAGGCTTCCTGCCCGATTTTCTGAGGAGGGATCGGCGACGTGTCGATCGTGATCTCGCTCGGAGGATCGTTGGACGCGCTCCCGGAGACTATGAGACGCGTCGTCCTAGAACAGCTTTTATAGCCGTAGATCACTGTGTATCGGGCTGTGGTCGGGCTAATAAGATGTAAGATCACGTAACGTGGTGTGATGGATCCAGGGCGGATTTTTCGCGACGGCGGGCCGCCTGGGACACCCGCGTTTCCGCTCTCCCTGGGGGCAAGGTAAGCGTGTTTGTAAAACGAGTAGACGGCCGGCTCTGCGGGTGTGGACGCGAAGCCGAGGAAAAATGGAGCCGCCACTCTGGGGGGCTCTCCATTTTCGTGGCACTCTCTCACCGGCGCGCGGGAAGACACCCGATCCCGTTGTCATTTCTCTAGCCAGGCCTGGCCATGGATACCAAGGGCGATGCCGGCGAAGGCCGACGATCGCGTAACTGTTCGTCGCCTCGGTCCGCAGCCCGATAAGCTGTGTTGGATCACGTAGCACGATTTTTTACCGACGTCCTACTCGCTATACGATGATTTTGGATTGGATTTGGGATTAGGTGTCGCGTGATTTCTTTAGGTATCGAGTGGAGGGGTTGGATATTGTTGGTAAGTGGGTTGTGGGTGTACATTTCATTATTAATATTATTATTATTGTTATTATTATTATTATTATTATTTTATTTCATTATTTCATCTTATTATTTATTATAAGATTGGATGATTGGATTATTGGTGTTTATTATTGATTGTCGTTGTTGAGGTTTATTTGACAGTGGTGTTTAGTTACAAATTTAGAGAATTTGGAGTTTCATTAGTGAAATGCAAATGGTAATTAAATTTTCTTTAAAAAGTGTAAAATTTATTATACGTATCTTTTTTTTTTTTTTTTTTTCCTTTGTAAATTAATATGTTCGCGATGTTTGTAGTAATTTAACTATCACCTTCTGTAAGTAAATTAATATTGTTAGAATAATGAAAGTATAACGTAGCGGTATTAAAAGGTATCGAAATATATAATAAAATGGAACTGTAATACTATAGCACTGGCGTGATATTACCATATTATTGTTGCATAAATATTAACTCTAGAAACCGGTATGTATTTTAATTTTTTTTTTTTATTTAATTTATAGCCAAATTAAAAATAAATTCTGTCTAAGAGAATTTAAAAAAAATCAATCAATGACAATTTCTTTTTATTTTATTCGATTTCAAATTCGACGTAATATTTCATAAATAATTTACAAATTAATAATTTTTTAAATTAATAAAAAACAAATTTTCAATGAGAAAATATATAACATTCAAAAATTCGAAAATTTCGAAAATTCAAAATTTCTCAACACACGTTCGTAATATATTTTACATGATGAAAATCTGATTTCTATCTGGAAGCTTTTATCAAAAATATAACATTGAAACACAATTTTTTATTATTTTTTGCATCACTTAATTTCTCATTAATCCAATTCCGATAATCTCCTATTATATCATAAAAAAAAAAAAGAAAAGAAAAGAATCAAACAAATATCTATAAAATTGATAAACAACAATTCAATCGTTCCAATCTCGTTAATTTAAACAAAAATCTCAAGATTTCCCTTTTAAATGGACAAAAACTCAATTACAAATCCACCTTTGAGATCTATTTTGAAAAAGTTCGAGGTCGTCGAAATCGTCGATCTCGTAACAATCGCGCAAAAAGTTCTTCTAGTTTGGAGAAAAAAAAGAAGAAGAGAGAGAGAAAGAATCGAAGATTGTTTCGAAAATTATCGAATTCAGACGGGGAGGGCATCGATTGGACCGAATGTCAATGTCAGGTGTGGTTAATTTTATTGGACATAGGGCGTTTCCTATTCGCGCGTTCTCCCATCGATGGACGCGTGCCCCATGGAGCGAAACCTTTTCTCCCAGGTGCTATATAAAGGCCAGGGGACGAAGTGGACACCATGAGACCGATCCAAGGTACCTTGGCGAGTACTGTACGCTCAGATAGCGCGCAAGGAGCCACAGTTTGTCCACAAGATGAAATTTCTCGTGAGTATTTATCGTTTCTCGAACACTTTGATTTTTATCCATTTTCCGTCTCTTCCAAGATCAGTTTTGGTAATGTGCACGGAAAATAAGAGAAGGATATAAAATATTGAAAATTTAATTTCTGTTTTGCATTTATAACATTTACTTTTCGTTACATTGTAATCATATTTTGCATTTATAAAATTAATAAATCTTCAAATTTCAATTTTTTTTTTTAAAAAATGATACTCTTATTGTATGAATTTAAAATATATACCACAATTTTTTACACGTACTAAATTTTCTATTTTAAGAAAATATACAATTTATTACTCTTTCGTAATAATTTGAAAAATGATTACGATTGATACATATTTTTTTCTTTGAACACCATTAAATAGTAATACATAATGCTTTTTAATCTCATAAATAAAACTAAAAACTTGAAAAATTTAAAATAAAAATTTAGAATTTAAAACAGCATTTAACATTTATTTAATTTATCATTGCGAAACTATACATTTTCAATAAATAATACCAATTTGTAAATAATATCAATTGTCACAACCCAGTATCGATTCCCTTAAAAAAAAAAAAATTTAACGTACTTACGGATTAATCTAACCTATGCCAACATTCAACTCTTAATATTCATTTTCAGATCATTCTCTCCGCTCTGGTAGCAGCGGCGTCTGCCAGGCCAGGCTTGCTAGTAGCGCCACAGGTGGCAGCACTTGCGACGCCCTTAACCATCACCAAACTGGTACCTGGCGCGCCCATAGGACTCGACGGCCGAGTCGTGGACACCCCGGAAGTAGCCCTGGCAAAGGCGGAACACGCGGCAGCCCACATCAACGAAAGAATCAATCTCGCGCAAGAGTCGCTCAAATCGGCTGATGCGATCGCCATTACAGGTCCCCTTGTCGCCAGCAGCGTGGAACCCATCGCAGTTGCGGCCAAAATCGTGCCTGCGGCCCCTCTGGGCCCCGACGGCCGTGTCGTGGACACACCTGAAGTGGCTCTGGCCAAGGCGGAGCACGCTGCCGCTCACATAAATCAGAAGATAGAGCAAGCTGTCGAGCAAAGACAATCCTCCTCTCTGGAGATTCCTCTTGTCCTGTCCACGTATTCAGGACCCGTGATTCAAAAGGTTTTACTTAACGGGCTTTAAACGAAAAGGTTTTAAACGAAAGTTTTATTATTATTGCCAGGATGATAACTGCTGTTCGACGACTGTTTGTTACATGAAATACTCGTTTTTTTGTACATAATTGTGGGCCGATTGAATAAAACGTTTTTGAACTATTACTAATTGAAACTTGATTCGATTATTTTTGCAGATATCTTTATTTTTATTTTTACTTTTTTCCTTGCCTTGTTTTTTTTTTTTTTTCATGGCAGCTTAGATTGGTTTATCATGAAATTAATAGAAAGAATGGTTAATTTTATTAATTATTTTACACTGCTATTAAATTTATAACTTTTTAAATTTTTTTTACCCTATTTTCTATTTCTGCCTCTTGTGTCTTGTTGTAAGAGTGATACTTTTCTTAATTTTTAGAAAATATGATAGCAGTTGGAATTAAGAACACAAAAATAGAAGAGTAAAAGGCAGAGTAAATGGTGGGGATGTTCATTGATAAAATTAAGAGCGCTTTCGATACCCTTAGTCAGTTCGTTGCTAACTTGCATGGAGGCAGGGCGCTTGCTAAGATTTCGAGTGAACGATCGAAATATTTTTAGACTATTCATTCGAAATTTTTTAGATAATTTGAATTTTTTTTTAATAATTAAATTTTATAAAACAAATATTATACAACTAATCGAGAATAGAATATCAATAATGATAAAACTATTAGAATAATAATCTAAGCATATTATTAATGTAGAAGATTTTTTTACTATTATTATTATTAATATTATTATATTTTATATTTTTTAATCCTACTTTTGCGAACAGTTTCATCTCATACATTCGTCTTTTCGATCGATAGAAATCTTGTCTTATTTTAAACTTCGTGATGTAAGAATTTGAATTGAAAATTTTTAAAGAACCGCTACAAAGAAAGGGAAAACAAAAAAATTAGAAATTATTTTCATTATTATTTCATTCGACATTTTACATTTATCGTAGATTTTTCGCTTCTATCAATCTTTTAAATAATAAATAATACTATAGAATATTAAAATTTCCAGATTTAAATCTTTGCTATTACTTTCTTCACGATCCGTGAGATACAGCGTTCTCTCTCAGTGGCGCGCACAAACCGTTTCCATAGCTTCGATAGCTGGTTTCCTAAACTGGAACGCAAAAATGACGCTCAAAATTGTCACACAATTGTCAGAGCGCTCGTCGCGGCTCTTCTTAAAAACGAAAGAACGCTCTCTCGGATCAGGCGAAACTGGAAGTGATTCTGAAACTTTCGAAGTTGGCTGGAAAAAAATTATCTGTCTATCTTTTCTGTCTATCTTATCTGTCCATCTTATCTATTTATCTGTTTCTGTTTCGCACGAAACTTTCAAAGTTGGTTGGAAAATAGTTATCTGACTATCTTATCTGACTATCTTATCTATTTATCTGTCTCTGTTTTGCACGAAATTTTCGAAGTTGATTGGAAAATAGTTATCTGTTTATCTTATCTGACTATCTTATTTGTTTATCTTATATGTTTCGTACAAAACTTTCAAAGTTGGTTGGAAAAAAATTATCTGTCTATCTTATCTGATTATCTTATCTATTTATCTTATCTATTTATCTATCTTATCTGTTTATCTTATCTATTTATCTTATCTATTTATCTGTCTCTCTGTTTCGCATGAAACTTTTGAAGTTGGTTGGAAAATAGTTATCTGACTATCTTATCTTTTATTTTATAAAAATTACCAATAATGTCTCATAAGTTCGATCAATTTATTGAAGGATAGGCAAAATTGAAGAGTTGCATATAACATTTTCAATGCATTTTGTATCTTTCGTTTGGGAACCGCTGCTTCAAGCCATTCTTTCTTCAGGATATCGAAGAATATGAGACAGTCAAGGTTGCTGTTCGAGCCTTTTCCTGCGCCCACGAAGAGTATTATACGTGTACTTACACGATTTCATGACGTAGAAATAAATTTGAACACTATTTCTCAACGACTATAACGTCGACTATAACGTGCAAGCGTTATAATATTTACTTTCCTGTTTCGATTCGTTCAAAAATCTTTTTATGTACGAAACAAAGGAAAAATTGATTGATCTCAATTGAATAAATTTAATACGTTATATTACACAATTATTCTACTTTACACGTACTATTACTATTGCCATTATATCATATTACATTACTCGATGTAAAAATTATTTTTTATTTTCATTATGAAAGCGATCAATATTTTTGGAGATAAATACATAATGAATTTTCAGTAACAATGAACCTCGCAAGAAGTTCAGTGTCCTTCATACAACATAGCTCGATTCAAAGTCACGAAATTCAAATATTCACGGTCAACGAGTTTGTTCGTCGATAATGGGGCGTGTCTCTGAAAAGAGATTATTAAATCTTGTCTCGATCGAAAAAAAAAAACACAGATTATGGATTCGTAATATTTTTTTCTAGCATTTTATAAATATTTTCGTCAGTTGAAAAAATTCAATCACAAAAAAATCAAAGATTAAAAAATCTAAAGATTAAGAAGTGTCGAAATTTTAAGAGATCGTAATACAATTTTTCAATTATTATAACATATTCGTTAATTAATTTCAATTTTATTTTAGTTTTTTTTTTTTTAGTAAAATTTATTTTTAAACAAAATATAATCCTGAAAATAATTAAGAGGAAAGGTGACTGGTTCACTTTTTTTTAGAAGCATAATGTATTCTTAACGACGTCTAATTAAGCACAAATGTGTCAGAGGCACAGAACTAAATTAAATAGATGATCTTAATGAGATCTAGATTAATCAAATCGTAAAATAATTTAATTTTAATAATTGTTTATATCATGGAAGAAATTTACACTTAACGCTCTATAAAATTCAGAATAAAAATTATTATATTATATATACACATTCTTTTATTCAAAAAATTTTATTCCTTTATTTTGTTAAAATTTTATTATTTTAATTAAAAAGTTTCTTTTCATAATCTTTGACTAATCTTTAGCTGAATAAAAAAAAATTCCATAAACAAAAATTTCAATTCAAAAAATATAATCATAGTTACAAAAAATATATTAATTAAATATATTAATTATTACCATTTGGAAATTAGATTAAGAAACCTTATTTATGAACCTTTTTTTATAGACTTGATTAAGATAAAATATCTTAATCACGATCTTCGATCTTTCTTTTTCTTTTCTTTCTTTCTTTTTTTTTTTCTCCTTAACCTTCTATCCTTTTCAAAATTTCTCTTGATGCCATCTAATCTTCGATACACACACTTTGTAACGAAACGTTTTTCTAACGATGATCATATCGCAGTGATTGAAAAACCTTAAAACCGATGTTGGCGCAATATCAAAGGGTTTCCTTCGATCTAATTGAAAAAAAAAAGGAACATGGCCAGCTTTCTAATATTATTCGTATGCAGTTACAAAATCGTTTTTACCATTGTTATTTCGCCAATTGAAAATTGTCTTGGACGATTGTGACACATAAATATTTCCCAATTACACATGCAATAGGGTGACAAAACAGTCTTTGCAGTTCTTTATTCATATCCGATACTTATTTTATTCATTTCTTTTAATATTTGATCATTTTAATATTCAAGTATTTATTTGGCTATTATTTTATAACTTAATAATATTTTTTTTTTAATTCATTAGAATATTTAGAAGTTTTACAAATTTTATTACAAAATTTATTTGTAATAAACGAATTTTGATTCATAATTATTAGAGTTAATAAATTTTTAATTGAAAGTTGTCAAATAAATTACGACTTTTTTTATTTTATTTTAACTTATTAATCGATATCACGAAAGATTAATAACATTTCTTAACATCTCGCATGTGATTTATTTTTATATATTATATAATTGACGAAATTTTTAAATTATCGATTTATTTCGTATACTTTAATACCTTCCAAAAAGCTATTAATATAATGATAAATGTGATCAAATTCGAAATTTAATTCCCATATTAAAAAATTTATGATTGCATGGATTCCTTTCTATCAAGCTGTTATTTATTTCTATCAAATTTTAGATATTGTGCAAAATCATAATTTTTTCACTTCATTCTCTGAAATGCAATATAAAATTAAAAAAAAAAAACTCAAACGCATCGAAGATGAGTATAAAAATTAAAAGTGTTAATTAAAAATTCAAAATTAACAATTTAAAGTTTTAAATGAATTCGTTAATTTGAGCAATATTCGAGCAATAAATCATTTCATCTTTATTAACACTTAATAATAAATTAACATTCTCGCTAACTCGTATTAATGAATTGCAACACCTCTTTAATACAGAACAAGATCTTTTTCATACGAACCAATTTATTTGATCGAGCGATCCGTATAGCACAACTTTGCACGATGGAAAAATATCGAAGGAATGCATTCTTGCTGCAGACTGTCCTTCGTTCTCGAGTCCTTCGTTCGTTCAGGGTTGGTAAGTCGTTTAACACTTGCATGAACGGCTTTGTTTAAAGGACAGCAAAGTACTGGCGAAAGGAGAAATAAAATAAAAGGGAGTAGTAGATGTTGAAAATTTTTACTTTTATATTAAATAAATCGTGGCACGATGGAACAAATACGATAAGAAAGGTTATTTTATTCTCGCGAATAAAAGTAATAATCTTGCAAATTTTAATAATAAGATTAAAGAAAAAAAAAATGTATAGAATTTTATTTAACGCGTAAGAAATACAATTGCAAATTTTATTCAAATTTTAAAATAAAGATATTGCAATTATAAATTATACAATATCCATTAATGATATCGATAATTATACAAATACAAATATTAGATAAATTTTACACTATTCAAAGGAATAATAGAAAAGAAAAATGTAGAAATTTAATTATAACATTGAACGTCTTCTCATCGCGATCAAGATTATTTCCCATATGCAATTATGGGGAAAAGTGTCTCTCGGATGTAACTTCCTTCGTCACGAATGTAATCCATTTCTCACGTGACGATCTCACGTGATCTTTCTCACTGCATTTTGCTCACAAATTGAATAACAACACTGGATGGATATTCGCTTAAATATATTTCTCAATTCAAAATCGCACAACTTCTCAAACTATTCTACGAAAACTTTTGAAAACTCCGCCCCAACTTTTGCAACTTTGACAGTTACGACGATCAACCGCCATTTCTCGCCAATTATACTTCCATCTTCCTTCCTCCAAGCATCTCCTTTCATCCATTCAACCCCACTTTATCTTCAAACTCACTTTAATCCCATACTCTTCCACGCCCATAAATAATTTCGCGCAATTCTACTTTATTCTCCACCTACAAAACCTAATTCTTTTAAGTTCAAGATTCACTAACACGCAATTCACTAATCGATTGCACAATTACCATTCAATTTCCTTTTCCAAACACAATCGACAACATTTCTTCCAATATTCCCTAGTCCTTTCAATACCAATATGCTTCCCCCAATATGCGCTCCCCAATGACCCAGACCTAAGCCAACCCTTCCTCCCAATCGTAACCAATCGCACCCCCTCCAGTCCCATCCTTCCGGTCCAGGAGTGCATGGACCCCGTTGAAATGCCAAGGTCCTGGCGCGAAGCAGCCGCCTGAATAGGAGGGGAGGGGAGGGGGAGTATCCTTTTTCCTGGCGCGCTTCCCAGGCTACGTGGGCTAACCGATCACCCGGCTCCTTCCAGGCCGTGGTCCACGTGGGAGGGGGCGGATGATCACCGCTATAAATGCTACCAACGGCCGTTCTCCAGGAACACAAAACGTGAGGCCGGGCCGGGTAAGCGTGGAGCTGGAGCGGAAACGAGCGAGTACTGGCCACCAGCAGCGCTTTTCGCACAGGGGAAAAACAAGCTTCGGATTGGGGGAAAAAAAAAAAAAAAAAAAAGAAAAAGAAAGGAAAGTGATCGAGAGAAAGGAGACATGAGGGGATTGGTGAGTTTTCTTCCTTCTTCGATTCTGTGTGGACAGGTCGACGAATGGCGGGCAAAGTGAAAGGTATTATTATTATAGGGTAGGATAGATGGACAACCACGCCGCGTGTCAAAAGAGACAGCGAGTTTGAGGATTCTGACAGATTTTGTTCAGAAATTGTCGAACAGTTCTTCTGCTTCTCTGTATAAAAATTCGAATGACGATTTGATTTATTCGATCGAGAGAAATAATTTAACATTAATTTAAATGGGGATATAATAAAATATGGGGATATAAAATTTTTTTGAATTGAAATTTGAAAAGACACCAGAATTTTTATAATTATTATAATTAATACTTTGTCGATAATATTCCAACACTCTCGATTTTATTTTTCAGATCGTTTTCATCGCAACGGTGGCCAGCTGCAGAGCCGGTTTCCTCGGCTCGCCCTCGTTCGGCGAGCCCCAGGTGCACCCCCAACCGGCGCCCCAGAGGTTCGCACCCCCGGCACCGGTTGGCCAAGACGGAAACGTGATCGATACCCCGGAAGTCGCCCAAGCGAAGGCTGCCCACTTCGCGGAATTCGCTAGGGCCGCGGCCAGAGCCGCCGAGGAGAGCAAGAATCAGCCCCAATCGGTCGAGTACAATCCCCAGTCCCAAGCCTACAACTTCCCCTCTTCCCAACCCTCCACCTACGTCAGGCAGCAAGCCTATCAGCCGCCCGCGCCGATCTACCAATCTGCTCCAGGTAAATTTTCCCACAGTTCACTTCTCTTCTTTCATTTCTTCTTAATCCTTCTTGATCCCCTCCCGAATAATAATTTTTAAGAACAAGTTTCGTTTTCGATAGAATTAAAATTAATTCGTCGATAAAAAAAAATACAATTCCAGCACCGGCGCCAATGTACAATCAACCGAATACGGTATCAGCCGGTTACCAGCCGCAGTATACGGGAAATACGAACTTTGTCGGGCAGCAAAGTTTCGCTGCCAACGTGAAACCCACCCCTTTCGTGCCTGCGCCCCTCGCGGAGGATGGGACTGTAATCGATACGCCGGAAGTGGCCGCTCTTAAGGCAGCCAGGTTGGCAGAATTGGCCGAGGCCGAGGCGAGGGCGTATAAGTTTGCACAGGAATACAAACCGGAAGTCCAAGGCCAAGGTACGTTCGCAAAAGGTGACCGAGAGTAATGATTACGTAAGAAGTTTATCTCGATTTTTAATTTCGTCGAATGTTTTAATATTTCTTTCTGTTTCTATTGCAGGATAATAATTCTTTGAAATTCCTTTTCTTTTCTTTTTTTCTTTTTTAATTTCTTTATCAGTTATGAAATTAGTATCGCGATATTTGTCCTCGTGGTGTTGAAAAATATTATTTTTGTCGTGACGTAATATTTATATAACGTACGTAGAGGAATTCGTACAAGAGACTAGAGAATTATTGAACTCTTGCCAACTATAAATACATTGGTAACACCCTGCGCTAACGTAAGAATTGAATAGTTGCTCAACAACTTAATCGTTCGATTGTTCCTGCGAGAATAGCATGGTATGGCCACTAGTCGTTAGGCATATAATCGTGACCCGGCCATTTCTCTTCTGGAATATCAAGCAACATCGTAGCAACGACATCGTAGGTCACGTAGAGTTTCACTCTAATTGTACAAATAATTTTGAAGATTAGTATAAATGCATAAAATGTAAATCAATCAAATATCTTTTTTCCATTTAAAAAATTAAAAAGAATTCAATAAGAAAAATTCAAACTGATTGATAAGAATTTTTCTATTTTTTATAATTTCTACAATTATTTGTGGAATTTCTAAGTATGCACGAATTTCTAACGAATTCTTAATCATAAAAAATAAATGGATAAATAAAGTTCTTTTAATTTTAGATTAAGGATTGATAATTAAATTGTTTTTCGTTTTATTTCAGCTTATGCTAGTCCACCAGCCGCTCCAGTCCAATACAATTCTCCCGCGGCTAGAGTATTTCCTGGCGCAGCGCCCTCGTATCCCGCGGCGCAACCAGCATTTGGCAAACCTGCTTTCCAACCTCAAAATTATCAATCGCAGCAATTAGTCGGAGCTTATTAAATTGAGACGAATCGTGACGTATTTGTACATAATTTAGGTCAATAAATTGTTCCCCCTCCTCTTTTTTAAATTTCTCATTTCTTATTCCTTCTACTCCGCTCGTTCGTTTGTGTTTCTTTCTTTGATATATTTAATTTTTAGTGTAATACTAGGGATAATTGTCAAAAAAAATTTTTTTTACTCTTTCTTTTAGAGAAACAAAAATTTTAAAAGGATCAAGAATTTTAGAAATATTTTTCGAGAATTTTATTTATTTTAGTATTATTTTAACAAATATTAGAGAGTTGTAAATTCTATAGTTTGATAGAATAAGTAACAATAAGAAATATATTTTTACATAATTTTTCTAAATAAATTTTGAATTTTTTCCATCAAATCAATTTATTTTCTTTTTCTTTGCATTAAAAATTATAATTTTAAAAATTCCTTGCTTCATATTCATTTATCATTTTTCTCTATTATTTTAGTATTTGATATAAAAAATATATTTTTATATCATACGTTCCCACAATTTATAACTTGTATTGCATTATTTTCACACAATATATATAATATATTAATATTCAGAATTATTAATTTCATACTCGATACTACATTAATACTTTAAGTATCATATTTAAAGTTTAAAGTTATATATTATACGAAATTCATCGATAAACTTTCGTTACACTTAATATATACTAATATATATACTACGTTATTAGACTTATGTATTAAGTTCAAGAAATCGACACTTATATTCCAGATATCCGATGAATTTTTATTATGTAGGTTAACGCGTAATTCTCGCCCGAGAAGCCACCAAAAATCAATGCGTCAAACAAATTGCCAAGCAATATTATTCGTCAGAAACCACGAGTTAACCTATATTTGATTTCGTTGTGCGGTTAGCGTAATCCAAGAAAGATTGGAAAGATGTCTTCACGTCGATCGGGTTAGATGAACACCTTCTTCAGGGTCGTTTAACATTGAATATCGGAAAATGGAAGAAAATTTTTTTTATTATAAATTGATATCGATAAGAAGAACGATATTATAACACAAATAAACGTCGAAACAAAAAATTCAAAAGAAAAATAAATAAATATGTATCACGAAGTGCCGAAGAATTGCTCGATGAGAAAAAAAATTTCAGGGTTTCCCTCGTAGAATTATCGTAACGATTGTCTCGTGCGATTGCGGTTTCTGCTCGTGCGATTTCGCGCGAAAAGAAGCGGTCAAAAAGTTTCGTCAGAATACGAAAAAAAAAAAAAAAAAACGATTCTAGTTGATTGATCAATAAGAATAGTGTAGTGTCAATGGCTTCTCGAATAACTTATCGAAATTTTCGTATCGTTTTTTTTTTTTTTAAAGCAACGAAATTCAAAGAATTTTTGTCCTTTTTTTATTTTCATTTTATTAAAATTCCTTAAAATTTCTGCTTTAATACGCGTGCAACATAATCTTCCGCGAGAATAAACGAATTTTTTTTCCAATTCAATTTGGCTCGGTGATCCACTTTCTATGATGGGATAAAATAGAAATCTCATCGAAATAGGATTACCAGCCGTGTTACCAGCCACCTTCAGGCTACAGTTGTTGCGACATAGGTCGCATTGGTGTACGAAACACGTGAGAAGGAGCTGGGAACGTGGATTCGTTCCTGCTGAACGAACTCTAGCATCGTGATTCGTCGCTTTTGGAAAGGTCGAGAATTATAACTTGTTCGAGTCGGCATTCCTAAATAGGAGCATGTAAATATACGTATATGGATCATTATTATTTAAGATACATAATAACAAGTAACAAAGTTAAAGTTACTTTTTCATTCATTTTAGCTCCAATAAAAATTACAGTACTTATATATTTTTTTTTTTTTGTAAATCATTCATAATAATGTTGAATATTAATATTTAAAAAATGTTTCATCTTCGAATAGAATGAAAATTAATTTTCTATTTGAATTCTTTATATTTTCCAAAACATGAATTCTCATCAATGAATTTTAATTAATCGTGATCTAATTAGTACATGCGTTACAGTTTTTTTTTTGAAGTTATCGATCGAATTATATCACATATTGGATTGTAAATCCAATTTTGATTGAGAATCCAAATCAATGCTAATTAAATGAAACGAGGCTACTATTCTAATTTATTGTGTTCGTGTAATGATTATACACGACAAATAAACTATTGTAAAGTTTTGATTTATTCGAATCAATCTCTAAATCAGTTCAATTTTTCATTTTCTTGTAATTTTAAGAAATTAATTAATTAATAAGAAATAATTAATAAGAAATTAATTAATTAATAAGAAAGAAATTAATTAATTATTTCGAACTTGAGGGATTGCAATTTTAAAAAATTTTATATTCAAGAAAATTAATTTCCAAACTTTTTCACAGGAAGAATTTTTGAAACAGATTGTCTCCTATTTCTTTCTATGTCTGATTGTAAAATTATAAATTTAATTTGGAAAAGTATTCGCAAAAATTTGTCGTTGAAATTATTTCAAAGCGTGTTACACGAATTTTGAAACGGTATCGATGCGTGATTGGCTAGACTGTATCTGGACCATCATTTATAAGGGGACAGGAGCTCATCGTGGAAACAGGACTGCCTTGAAGAGATCACTGGATCACTAAGGGTATCTATGATCCCGTGGGTATCTAGTCGTCCGTGAATCGGGGTCGAAACCACAAAAAAGTCTTCTCCAATGTTGTCTTTGTGGCGAGGGGGTTGCAACGCTGAAAACTGACCTCGAAAAGTCGAGACGAAACATCAGGGACGTTTGCAAACTGGATTAATTTTTAATATTTAATGGATACTATAATTGTTCAATTTCTTGTGTTTGCATTTTAAGAAAATTATTTTTATTAAAAGGAAGATATTCTTTTCACAATTTTACCACAATTGTTCATAAGAATTTTAAGATTCTTGTTAATATTCTGTCAGAAAAAATTGTTAAGATTTTCATTTTCAAATTATTTTTGGCTGAAAATCGCTATCTCCAACAACAAATAAATCTTAAAAATTTATCAGAATCATAACTTGTGTAATTTAATATTTAGAAAAAAAAATCGTCATTAATTGAACTCAAAAGCAAAGCTCAATAAAAATTCTTCAAAAATAAAAATTCAAATTTATCGAATATTACTTACTATTTTTTGGATTTTTCCTACATCTCTGCAAATGAATCTCAGTTTCAATCAGACAATCAATCCGCGATATCTCACCGCAATTTCTTCAAAACTTTAACTACAACTACAAGATCATGATGCATGTTTAACGAGAAAACAATTAAAGTATCGTTTTACATGTCAGGTATTGATCATCGTAACGTGGTTTTACTCGCATCGAAACCGCGACGCTATAAAAGCTAGATCGACCGATCGAACCAGCCACACTCGTAACCGAGACGTCCGTTTCGTGGTGTCCTAACAGCATGATCTTGCTCGTAAGTGTGTCGAGGGGAAAAAAAAAAAATAGTTTCATTATCATTAATGATCTATATGATTCGATAATTGGACGTTTATTGAAAAATAATAATAATAAAAAAAAAATATATATATATATATTTTCAAATATTCGTATAACATTAAATTTTTAATTTCGATTACTTTTTTCTTTCTTTTTATATTATTTTTTTCTCCAAAATTTCTCCAATCGAAAAACTCACAGGATGCAACGTGATCCTTCGTCGCACTTTTCCAGATAGTCCTGGCCGCGTCACTGGTGGCGTCGACGATCGCCGAATCCTACGAGGACAGAGAATACATTCAGTACAGAGGTCCTCCAGCGCCATTGACCAGCGATGGGATGGTCATGGACACGCCGGAAGTGGCCCATGCGAGGGCTGCCCACCTAGCGTTGCACGCTGAAACGATGGCCAGACTGAGGAAGGCTCAGAACGATTACGAGATGTACGAAAATAACGAAATGTCGTACATGCCGCAAGTGATGGACCCTGTCGAGACCGTGATGCAGAAGAGGCAGAGGCAGAGGGAATACATGCCTTTGGAAAGCGATGGAAATGCTATGGAGAATCCCGAGGTAATTTAAGAATTTAAAATCAGAATTTTAAGATCCGCCATTGTTACGATGTGCGCGAAAAAAAGGATTTGTTTTCTTTTCCTTTTTTTTTTTCGAAATGAAAAAGAAACATGGTTTTTTATTTACTTTTTAAAGATGACAGATGCGAAGAGTTCTCGTTTGACAACGCGTGCACGAGCAGCCTCGAAGGCGTCGGAATTTTACGAGTTTGACATCTTCGATGGACGAAAAAATTTGGTTTACCTTGCACCCGTTCGAGTCACTTACAAACACGCGCCAACAATGGGTTACAGAGGACCACTAGCGCCACTCGGCCCTGATGGCCGCGTCGTGGATACACCGGAAGTGATGAGGGCGCGCGAGGCGCATATGAAGGCACACGCTCGCGCTGTAGCACTCTCCACTCAGAACGATCTTTATTATTAAAACGAGATAGGATTTCTTTTCTTGATTCGATCATATCTCTGATACGTACGTATGTGTTATTAAACCGTTTTAGTTTTGGTATTTCTGTTTAATTAATTCTGATAAATATCTTTATGAAAATATAAGTAAGGAAATATTAAATTTTTTTTGTGAAACGATAGATATTTTTACTACGTTTCTTACGTTTTTTACGTTTTTACCCGAACATATTCGAATTTATTGTAAAATTATATGCGTATAATTACGCCACGAAAATTGGATCGCTCGATTTTTCTTAAAATAAAATCGTTCAATTTTCCGTCGAATTGTTCGTGCAATGTAACTTTTGCAGCAATTATTATTGAGAGCAGATTGTGTCGTACCTGATTTTTTACATATTTTTTTGACAGTTGGGATTTTCGACGGTTTGACGAAAATTGAACGAAAACTTCTCTCTCCCCCCCTCCGATACCAGTTTTGTAAATAATATTACTTATATACACTCAACTTGAATCCATTTATTTTACGTAAAATAACCATTTTGTTGTTTCACATTGCTATTGCTGCAATTTGAATTTTATTGCCATACAATTGTTAATGAATAATATATGTGATTTTAGATTTTTAGATTTTTAAGATAATATATATTTATGATGGTAGATATTAAGGTACCTTGTGAAAAAATGAATCGTATGTTACTTAGAAAATTTGTCATTCTTGCCACCGAAGTGTATTCTATATTTTTTACTGTCTTTGCAGTGGAATAAAATATGAATGTGTCTCTCGTTTACACCTCTTATTCTTTCTCCCTTTTCTCCCTAGTTCCTAGTCTATATTTTCCTTTGATTTATGATCGTTTCTTTAGGAAGTCACGTGGGCACATCGCGATCTCTCATCCCACATTATTCGGATTAATCATGCTAGAATGTAGGTGAATAAGCGAGCAGGTAGGCGTCGTCCAATGAGAAATCGAAAGGAAGATTGGCCTGCATCTTGCATAACGAAAATTCCGGACGTTAAGAGTTCCCTGACATTAACCAGAATTTGCCATTATTCAAGTTTATCTTGTTCTACGTGTAGATGTAGAACGCATTTGTATACCAATATACACGATATTTAGTTACGAATGTAAAAATTTAAAGAACGATTCTTTTCACTGGCGAAATAAGACGAAAATCAAGAATAAAAATATTGCGAATTTCGCTTTCTTTTTTAATTATCAATAATGGAATATCCATGGAAACATTCATCAGCGATCACTTTTATAAATTTTCGAAGAATCCTTCCTTAAATTTTTTATAACCTATAAATATAAATACTCCATAAATTTACAGAAATTACAGTGAATGATAAATTATTTCTTTTCGATAAATTCCTATTAAATCGCTAAATTTTAATTTTATATAAGAATAATATTAACTATAAAACCATTATATCGTATGCGTTCGTTTCGTCCATTTCAAAAACTCTCTCGTGTCGCCCAACCTCAACTCGATATCCAGTGACCCGTGATCCCACTGCTGTCCAGACGCGATCTTTAAGGCACGATCCTTCCATACACGATCGCCTAATCTCCGCTACACGTGGCAATAGAAAACCTCTCGACCTTCCACACCCCAAACGTTCACTTCCTTATGCGGGCAACGGTCCGATTTCAATATTCACCATGCTTAAGCAGTCAATTACGAGCGATCGCGCGGATAACGTTACTGATCCAGATCTAGGAAACGGTCCGCAGTGTCTGCTACCGACTTTGCCTTGCACTTATAGTCACCAGACACCGTGGAACCGGTTCTGTCCGTGACTCGGCCAATGCGTAGACGCTGGCTACCAGCAAGGACGTGTTTGATCGAGCTTGACGAGGAATGTATTAGATTTTAGATTTAGAAAAAATACCGGCTGATACCGTGTGCTGTTTCCTTAATGGGATTTATATCCGTGGGGGTCGTCGACGGTGCACCTGTAATCGTACAAAGTGTTAATAGGAGGTTGAAGTAAAATTATTGCTGGTTGTTGGTGAGATTTGGTGAAATTTGTTCGTGTTTGAGGAAGTGTGACAAAGGACTCGATTTATGTTTTATGAAGTCCTTGATTCACGAAAAATTAGGTTTGCTTGAATTTGAAAATTTTGTAGTTGGAATTATTATTTATTTTTTTTTAATAATTGGATTGAGAAAGTTTGAACTAGTTGGATTTGGTTGGTGTAGATTTAAATCGGATGGAATTTTGTTTGCGTTTGACAAATTGGATGACACATAGAAGATTTGATTCTTTCTTAAAGTATTTTGAAATTTCGTGGAATATTTGATCGTGTTTGCTTAAGTTTGAGTAATCTCGTAAAGATTGAATTTTCTTCTAAACTTCTTTGAAATTGAATCAGATTGGATTTTCTTAAAGTTGAAGATTTTTGAGTACCTCGTTCTGTTTCTTTCTAATTAATTTTTCCTTTAAATTAATTCATTAAACAATAATATATCGATGAAACACTCTTGTACGTAAAATTTCTTCTTTATATCTTGTCGTTAAGTTTAAATGGCCATTTGTATAATTGAAAAACGATTGAATAATTTCAATCGCCAAACGATAGATTCTAAATTATAAATTTCCGTTTAAGAATCAATAAATCACTTCGTATCCTGCTTTCTACACTCCATAACTTCAATAAACGATTCGGCTTTCACACCCATGTACATATGTTTGATCTTACTATGTAATCAGATTTATAGTTGTTCAAACTCTAACCAGGTTTCACATTGCCGTGTTTTCCGAAGTGAGCACGAATCGATTTGATTCGTGTCACGGGCATGTTAATCGACCACACGTGCCTCGATCACGGATTCGATTAAATCAAACATCTCTCAGTTTCACAATTTTCTGTATGGCGAATTATAGCGTAATAAATTGCCATCTTTTGCATTCTTTTTTAAAAATTTCTTCTCTTTATGATCCGTGCACTGTGTATATTTTTGATAGTTTTAAAAAAAAATAGGATTTTTCTTTCGATGATTGGGCAAAAATTAAAAATAGTAAAAAAAAAAAAAAGAAAATCGGAATGCTAAAAAATAGGAGTATATATTACACGTTGTTCCTCGACAACAAATTAATCTCTCGATCAAATTGTTTCAGCAAAACGTTGCATTTTATTCGCCTCATATTTCCGTTATATACACGCACGATAATTTACAAATGTACATGTAAATTTTTCTAATTATAATAAAAGAGAAAAACATGATAACATTGAATAATCTTTATATGAATAATTCATAGGTTAATTTTCACGCAGACTTGACTAACGCAAAAAGCGACGAAGAGAGAGAGAGAGAGAGATCACCTTGAAGAGGTATGTGACAAGATTATTATATACGGTATACAATAACTGTAACGGTACATATCACCGTTACTTCATTTCCATTCGACGATTCAAACACATTTCTATTTCACTTTCGATGCATACAATCATCGCAAATTTCCATCATTGCAAATTTCTATCTTTGAAAAAAATTATATTCCTCTTTTCAAATATTAATTCAACACTCGTTTCAATTTCTATTTAGATTCCGTAAATTTTCTTCAACGCGAAATCCAAATTCCAAATGAAATGAATTTCTCGCTTAAACTTAATTACATGGAAAAAAAAAAGATAATTGTTCCCTCTATTGAAAGATGATTGATTTTATCCATTTTCCAACACAAACATACTTCTGTTATAATGACAATCGTTGGCGTATTTATTTACAAGATAACAACGGAATATCGAGGAATATTAAAATTATAAAAAGAAAAAGAAAAAAAAAAAAAACCAACCTCGAATTCACGCCTCGAAAGAATCGTGAAAACTGAAGAAGACAAACGACCGGTAAAGAGGTAGACGAATCACAGAGAAGAACCAGGAGAAGAGGAGAAGAGGGAGCTTAAAGAAAGGTGGAGGAAAATACAGGTTGCAGAAGAATAGTAGAAAAGTATACTTCTTCTACTTGATTGAGACAAAGATTCTCGGAGGTAGTTGAAACTCGACGATCCAAGGGAATTTTTCTCTTTGCATCATCGATCGGTGAACAAGGAATGAAATACAGTCAGCCTGGTCGTTTCCGCCGAGACGATCAACGCCCGTCTAATTCCACTGGTTCCAATCGTGTCCAGAATTCCAGGAGGGATTGTTCCAGGAGCCGGTCGCATGCGGATTCCACGATGGAGGTGCTGGAGCGGGTGGGGCGCTCGACTGAGCCGCGGCGTTGTACAGGGAGAAATGAGCCGCCTTGGCTTGTTGCACTTCCGGTGTGTCCACCACGCGGCCGTCCGGCCCGAGAGGAGCTGGTGGCCCGCTGCAATTTTTCAAGCATTTATTTCAATTTATTTCGTCCCTACGATCAATCATCTTCGTATTAATGCCAATGCTTCTGTTCACTGATTATTGGTTATAGATTATAGTTCTGTATTATAGTACAGGAGACACGTAGTGCAAGACCTGTAATGAGGTGCATAGTTTCCAGGCGCGTAGGAGCCAGGAGGACCAGGATAAGGGCCGCCGGGGCCTTTAGGAGCTCTGGCATTCGCGTCGGCCAAAGCGGCCAGATGAGCCGCCTTCAGTTGGGCGACTTCCGGCGTGTCCACCACTCTCCCATCTGGCCCCAATGGGGCTGGAGCTGCGTGCCCGCCATACGCCCCGGGATACCACTGCGGCGCTGAGTGGACCACGTTCAGAACGATGGAAGCAAGAATCTGAAAGTTGGACCTGGTCAGTTTTTTGAAAATATATATTCTTATTAAATGTAATGTATTTATATAGAAAATAAACTGACTCAAAAAAGAGAAAAAAAAAGACTTAATCAGAATCCAAGTCTTTTTAAGATACTTAAAGAAAAATATTCGTTTCTTAAAATCATTTTAAAAAGAAGCTCTGTCATTTTATATATATATTTTATATATATTTTATATATATATTAAATTATATTTATATATATATATTAAATTATATATATATAATTTAAAGAAAAGAAATAAGAGAAAAGTAAGACACTAGAGTGGAGGGAGAAAGGAAAGATAAAAAGATACAGGTGATACTCACGATATATTGAATCATGATGTCGAAGCTCGGCGCAGGTCGATCCAGCGACTATCGACAGAGCTTGGGATTCGCATTATGACTTCCACCATCGTGGTTCGTCGAATTTATAGGGGTACGGGGCGTCGTCGCGTGCCCCACCCCATCCGCGACCAACGGGGTACACAACCACACCCAGGAAAATGCTCTGCTTTAAAGGCTGCCATGCCCTGCCCCGTAACATTTACCAAGCCATTAACAATGACACAGTGTGTCCCGTGTAACCTCGTCAGGAATAAAATACACGACAATGTGCGCGTGGACACGCACGTCATCGCGGATCCGATCACGTCGTCCTCGATGTAGTAAAAGTTGAATAACTATTTTCGAAAATTCGAAAATCCAAGCGTTTGGTTCCTATTGGTATATATGGTAGAGTCAAGATTCGATTGAAAATATACTTTTTTTTTCTATTTCATCGAACGAGCAGAATGAAAAAGGACGAAGAAAGAAAAGAAACGAATAGGAAGATTGTTCATCAATTTTTATTTAACGGGATAAACGGAGATTTCGATGCTCGGGATGGATATTATGAGCCAAGTAAACTGGAGATTTTAATGCCTAACGTAACAAGATGATTGAAAATTATTTTTCCCAGATCTGAACGTATTTTATCCCAAATTATTTTCGATACATATTGCTTTTGAAAATATATAGAAAAGATCCATTTATTTGAGATAATAATATTTTTGGAAAAGAGAATAAATATCTGAGAAAATAATTATAATATAATTCTTCTATTGAAATATTATTCAGAAACATTCCACTCGGTGAGAAACTTGCGGCCAGCAAGCAACACGTTTGTCTCTCTCTCGTTATCAAAGCGTTGGCGACAAGCTCGCAGTTCCGTTCAGGTCAGCACGCGAACAATGCGCGAGATGTGGTCTTTGAACCGTGCACAACTGTCGCAACTGCTGCACTGTACTCTCTTGGAGGAAGGAAAGAAAGAAAGAAAGAAAGAAAGAAAGAACGGATAGAGAACCGAATGGACGGATTGTGACCTACACACGCGGATTCATATAGGTGGGTGAACACGGAATGGCGACCATCGAAGGAATTCGTTTCGTCCACTTGCTGTAGGCACCGATGATAAATCGCTCGTGGAGGACACGAGAGAGTGAAATGACTTGTGAAACACGCTGTCACCGCGTGTTATGCAGATGAAGAGGATATAACAGAGAGATATTGTTGCGTTTTCCTTTTTTTCTCTCTCTCCTTCATTCGAGATTGGAATATCGTTAAAAAAAATATGAAAAAGACGATAATTTAGGAGATTGAATCGTTGTCGAAGGAAATGTTAAGTAGTAAAATTTAGAATTTTATTATTAAAGATATTCAAAGAGTATGAAGATGTCGATGATGAAAATTTAAGAGGTTGTTGAAGATGGTTGGAAATATTACGTCATGGTGGGAAAAAAGGGTTTTATTGTGAATACCAGGAAACAATAGATAATATTATAATCATGGATTATCGTCACATTGATATTTTATACCACTTGCGTCATATTTCTTGAACCTGCAATAAAATGATGTTATCACGTGTCTTACATCAGTAGTCTTTCGAATGAACTAACGTGTAAGATTATAATATAATTTTTTCGTTTTAAATTTCTTTTTTCGCATATTATATACATTTTTTTTTACTTTTCCTTCTTTTTATCACGATAATTGAAATTTCTTTGATAATAATATCGTAAATAATTTCAGCTCCTGTGAATGAATATTTCATGCATTTTTTTTTTTTTTTGCATTGATATGCCATTTTATATATTTTTATACATTTATGAATTTCTTACTATTGGCATGTAAACGCTATTATAATATAATTTCGAAGATAATTCAAGTTTTATTTTCTGTACGAAGAATGGCCGATTTATTGCAATTCACTCTCATTCGTAAATTTATAAATTTCACGTATAAAATATTTGACGGACGATAATAACCATAAAATTAATGCATATAGGTGTTGCACATAAGTGTGGGCACTGAGACAAAACATATTTGATAGATTTATGAAAACTCGAGACCTCCGGATTCCATTTAGGGATCCGTTCTATGTATCGGATGAAAGATCCAAACTGGTCGTATTCAGCTTGTAATAACTTACTTTGCAATAAATTATTATCCCTTAGAGCCTTGAATCATATCGACAGGTATAGGCGCCCAAAGTTTTCTTCTTCTCCTTTCACAACTTTTCTATACATCTTCTATATCCACCTGTCTATCTATACATATAATCCATAAATTTTTGCACGCTTTTTCACAAAACTTAAATACTTATTTAAAATTTTTCCATTGCATCGTTACATTTTATTTTACAACAGAGTACAAGAGGAAGAAGAATCAACAAAAAATATTGGATAAATACTTGCAATATTTTTAATCAATATACATATACATATATATATAACATAACAAATTATAACATCATCCATTACAATCCATAATCCATATCTCCCTCTTTCTCCAAATTCGCAAAACAATTTCCCATTACATTCAATTATTTCCCTTTCGCAGAATTAAACTCCCAAACATCGTATCCTAATCCTAAACAACGCAAGATAATCTCCAAAAAAAAATATCCCAATTGATCCACGATTCTATAAAAGAAAAAAAAAAAAAAAAGAAAAAATTCCATTCCACGCAAATCGAAAAAGATCCTGATCTTCCCCTCCCTCTCCAATCCGATTCCCTCATCAATCTCTCATCTCGTTCACCAATGTGCCTTCTGGTACGGGGCTATTTTCGAAATCTGTTCCGCGTGGGCCGCCAGGTGCGCGGCCTTGGCGTGTGCTACTTCCGGTGTGTCGACCACTCTCCCGTCGTGGGCCAACGGTGCTGGGGGTCCGTAGTACAAGCTCTGACCGGCCACGTAAACGCCGTTCCCTTCGTATTTCCCATCGTAATCGTCGTAACCGGTTGAGGGAGATGCCTTGGCGGCTTCCGCCGCGTGAGTAGCCAGGTGGACAAGTTTTGCGTGAGCCACTTCCGGTGTGTCGATCACTCTCCCGTCGTGAGCCAACGGCGCCGGTGGGCCGTGATACGGCGCCCCGTAGGGGGCGTAGCCCGCCCCGCAGGATGCTGCGAGGATGAGACACGAGAACGTGAGCTGAAAACGAGTAATATTATATTTATATAATTTATGGTTACTTCACTTCTTATCGATCAGATGATTTTCTCAATCTCTGTTACTACTCTTTCTCTGCCACTCTTTAAATATTATCCGTTATATACAGTCCTAGAACTAACTAACGGCGATAACTAATGTAATAACCGTGATAACATGGAAAATGGATGAAAAGAATCTCGTCTGTCGTTACTCACGAGGAGGAGTCTCGTGTTAGCCATGATCCACCAACGACCTGATGCTTTTCTGCCGGCCGAACGGGCCTCGGTACACCTTATATAGTCGTGGAACAATTACGGGCGCCCACCTGATGCCTGCCCGGTGAACAAGCGAACGGTGCAAACGTGTACGTGAAATATTAGCGGTCGCACACGCGTTCCGCTTGATTTTCACATAATAAGGGGTGGGGGAGAGGCGTTTCTATTTGGCAACGCGGGAAAAGATTGTAGTCGATCGAGGGGAGTGAAACGAGATGCTAATGGACGAAGAAATGGGCGGAATGTTGCGGCAATCTGATACGACGAGAAGAAGACGAAGGGTTTCTTCATCCTAGGAGAGGGTGAGAATGAGGAAGAGGGATGTTTTCTTCGACACGAATGATATATAATCGCCTATGTAGCTTGGTCTAACAAACTTTCTGACTGAAATCTGTTTCCCAATTCCACGCGATTCTTTTTCTTCTTTTATGGGTAATAAAAGAAATCCAGAGATCCTCGAAGGTTCGATGCAAATTCGACGCAGATTCCATCACGTAACGCTACGCTTGAAATTCTTATAATAAGACTGGCGAGCAATTACACTTTGCGAAACAATGACAGCCACCGCTCGAACAATCATTTCTAACGAGCGTCCACGGCCTAATTGGGACAAGTTCATTACGATGGAATATCATTCCCAGCGATTATTCCGCGTCGTGGTCCGCTACCGATCAAAATGGCGAAAGCTGATGAAAATAGCTGATGAACGCGCAATTCAATTTTGATTGAACAAGCGTAACCAGGGGAGGATTTTTCCTTGCGATGCGTGTATCGTGTGCGCTTGCGCAACGACAGAGTGTCGTTGCTAAATTGTAAAAATAGAATTGTCGCAAAACAAGTGGCGACAACAGTGGTGGAAATATTGGGTAATTGATACCGAGATTCCGTGAAAACCAGACGAATTTCACGCACGGATGACGGAAGACGAAAGAAGTTGAGGAACCATGACGAGAAAAAAGATTTCAGACCAAGTGACAAGATGATTGAGCAATCGAGATTTATGATATGTTAGAAACGCGAATGTGATTAAAGCAATGGATGTTAATGGTTTAATGGCCAATGTCAATGTGAGAGAATATTTTATGAGAATTTATGAGAAATAATGAAATGAAAAAAAAAAAATGAAAAGGGAAATAATTATAATATATTCGAGAAATGCTTCGAAAAAAATTTTTAACACTTTTTACTGTATCCTCGGAGGTTTAAATCTAGCTTTAATAACGTTATTCTATCTGACATTTCTATTTAACGTAAATTATCTTAATGGCTCTATCCGAACCTATCAATCACAGTAATCACAGTATTATTACACCCTGATAGAATATGAGGCAAGAATCGATAAACCATTAGCAAGATTTAAATCTTTCATCGTAATAATCGAATATTTGAATTAAAAAATTATTAAAAAATTATTTTACCTATAAATGATATACATATAGTCAAGAATGATAATAATTATAGTTATAGATAATAATAAAATATATTAACGATAATTAATAAATTTGTTATGTGGATCAGCAGAGAGTAAAAAATTCTTAAACATTCCTTCATATTTTATTTATCTACAAAACTTCATCTATCAAATATCAGATATTTTTCTTTGACAATTCTTTAATATATCTTCATCAAAACGTCGTTTTCCATTAATCATGTATCGTAAAACTGGATTAATCCTTTTTCGATACGGATGTATCAATGTATCAATCAAAGTCTTTTAAATTTCTTGTCTAGTACGAATGTCATTCGACACGAAATCTTGTCCGTCTTTTATGACATCCGCTACTGGGTGCACAGCAGCGTTAATAATCGAGTGAATGTCGATGCTCGATACGTGCAACAGGCATTCCCTGTCGATAACCGTCCCTGGCCTCGTCCAGGCAAATGTATACCGGGTTAGTGACACGCCTAATCGTCCCATAATGTTCCAGAATAATCCTGGATCAGGAAGGAGGAAGCCACGTTGTCTCGGATTTCCAACGAATGGTTCGATTAAAATCATATTGACGTTATTAACTTTATTTTACCTGTATGAATATTTTTAAAGAATTTTATTAAAACGCTCATCGATATTATAAATATCTATAATATAATAATCTTTTTACTTAAATATCGTATTAATTCTCTCTATCTTTCTTTTTTTTTTAATTATTAATTATTAATTATTAACTATTATTGCGGAATTTCTGAGCTCTTTAAAAGCATTTCACGATTCTCCTTTCAATTGGCATATTTAATTAACGCGTATTTAGTTAAGTTTAAAACTTTTAATTAAAATTTCAAGTTCACATTTTATCCTTTTAATAGCATCCTGTATCTCAAAATTTTATCAAAAAGTCGATATAGTTAATGTATATATATATATATACACATAACATGTATTTCCACTACAATTAAATTTTCTCCAAAAATGTTCTTTCGCGAAATATTTATTCATCTATACCAAATTTGCTCCAAGGTTCGCATCGTTACCTTTTACTCTAAGCTCTTCTTGCACAGGTACGAGCGCCACCTACTAACCAGCGCCACCCACGCAACCTACTAATTAGCAACTTGATCGTTAAGCACGGTTCTTTAACTGGTGTCGATGTCGATAACCGCCGATTAAAAACAACGCCGCGTGACGAGATCCCCTGGAATCCCGTGGAAAGGGCTTTCGTTCGACGTATCGACCGATCTTGAGTCGATTGCCACCGTGCCCACGTGACACGATTCTTTCCTGGCGATTTTCTCGCCATTTTTTTTTTTTTTTTTCCCTACTTCTACGATTCTGTGTGCGTGTTCCTTCTGAAGTGGAGAATAGCGGCGAAGGTTGGAATATTTCTTAGATTTTAATCTCTCGTTGGAATATTAATTTCATTTCTTTCTTCTTTTGGATTTTCGTTTTGAACAGTGTATTGTAATTTCTGTAGAAGTTAAATGGATAATGAAGATACGAAATTTACGGTAATCTTGGAACGTGAGAATTCTGTGTCTACTTTTTGTAACGGGTGAACAGTGGACGTTGTGGAGGAATAATTTTGGATTTTTATTCAACAGTTGGAATATTAATTTTCATCGAATAATTTGAAACGTTTGCTATTATTTGGTGTTGATTTTGAGAATGTGGGGATAATTATTTAAAATTATTTTCAAAGAATATTGGATCGAGTTATAGATTTTTCTTACCAGGCTTAAATAAAAAATGAACGAAATAAAAGAAACTTGAAATTAAACAGTCTTGTAACAATTGACAATTTGAGAAGAAAAATGGAATTAAAAAAAAAAAAAAGAAAAAAGGATCTATATACGTGATCGAGAGCATACGTGCGTGACGAAAGAAAACCTTCTGTTGTGCAAAGTGGGACTATTTGACGATGAATTTCACGCGAATCGCGCAATCACTTTTTTTAACACAACGGATTCTTTGCTTCTTTTGGTTGATTTCATTTGTCTCGTGTCTCTATATACTTTTTACCCTTTTTTTTTTTTCGTAATATAAGACGAAGAAATTCTTTTTTAAACAAAAATTTGTTACGCCAATTTTAAGCAACTTTCATGCAAAAACATACATCTCTTACTTTGTATTTATTATTTTGTTCGAAATTTATCAAAATTGAATTCAAATTTTCTAAATTTCATCGAACTCTTCCAATTTTTACACAATTCTCGCTAAATACTTCTCTCATTGCGTATGCAAATGCAAATTGCACAATGTCTCCGAGAGGAAAATAGCCTATGAGTCCCTCGACAGTCGTGTACAGAATCAAAATCTTCCTTTTATTCGCGATCCCTCCTCCCTCCCCTCCCTCCCTCCGCATTCCTCTTCTTTTTTTCTTCACTTTGGTAAACCACGTCAAGAAAGGTTTCGTTTCAATCACATAGGATTGTTTATTCCAAGGGCGACCTTCGTTTTGATGGACATATCAATTTTTCCCTCTCCTCCTCTTCCACTTTTATCCCTTCTTCCTCCATTTAATTACGTTACGTCCCCGTTCTTTTCCAGAATCCGCACTTTCCAGCTCGAGGTCGCACTCCCGATACACGAAATAATTACAATATCAATTACATTATCGATATCTCACCATCTCTTCGTTAATTCATAAATGTTTATGCGCCATAATTTTCGAATGATTTCTCTACAATGTTTCGATCAATGTTGTAATTAGGTATACGTTTTAAAGAATATGAACATGATTAAAGTACAGATAATTAATTTATATCTTAAATGTTAAGTTAAAACATTTTGAACGTGTCGATATGAATTATGTTCGTTATGTATGTAGTTCAGTATTTTATCGAGAATATATTTCGTTGTTACGTTTCGAAATGTAATGTGACATTTATGGTACAATTAAAATTGAAAGTTTTTTGAATTTTATTTAGAAATCGACATTATCATCGATAATTAATTTCTATATAGTTTAAATTTTTGAAATTTGAAAAGGGAGAGAAATTTGTGAGAAAATTTGTGGGTATGGATTAAATTAATATCATCGTGATACGTTTTAGAATTGTATTTGAAAATTGAATATTGGCTTAAAGCTGAAATTATAGCTCTGTTTGATTGGGAAAATTACAATTTATCGATGAGATTTTATATTTAAAAAGTACATATATATATATTAGATTATTTACGACGCTTGAAAATTAAATTTAAAATATTGACGTAAATTGAAATATAAATTTATGGAAAGACTGGTATTGATTTAAATGAAATATCAGATTATTTCAATTTAGAATGCTTAAAAATTGCAGATTTAATCTTGATGTTCTTTTTAAGAACGTATCACCTTGATAAATTCTTAAATCATTTTTATACACCAATAAATATTTCATATTCGATCCTTTTACCATTTATTTTACACATTCTCAACCACTTCGTGTATCGTATATTTTATTCGTTTAATGATTTATTGATGATATTTATCTAAAAAAACAAAAAGAATTATACCTTACACCATGCGTATTCAATTTTTCATTCATTAAAAATCACGAAACTAAAAAATATAAATTCTAAAAAAAAATATAATAACGTATATTCCCGTTCTATATATAGACACCATGCATCGTAAATATACATTACAGATGCTGATCGATTTACCATCATTCCTTTTCATTTAAATCCTATAATCTCGATATTATTTGTATAAAAATTATAAAATTAATAGAATGACAAAATTTTTTTTCCAAAAATTCTACAGAAAATTCATAAATTCCAAGAATACATGGAAAACGAAAAAAAAAAAAAGAAAAAATTTTAAATTCATTTCTATAAATTAAATTATTAACTTAATCAAAATGTAAACATTTCTTGGTGAAAATTTAAACATAATTTAATCAGTTGAACATCGGTTTGCGTTAGTAAAGTAATACTTATTTTCAGATTTCTATAAGAAATATAATAAAAGTAACGAAACATCCTTATTTGCGTATCAATATACACGTCCACTCTCTATGTGTTTTCAAACAATCACCGGCAAGAAAAGAGAATGGACACCGAAGTATTGTCCAATTTCAAGGAAGTCACATGTTGCACCTGACCTCGAGATATCCCTTGAAAGACGAGCACACGAGAGACGAACAGGCGAGTAATGTCAATGTCACCACCTTAGGTGTACCGCTTGCTTCCCAGGGTGTGGTCCCCTCCTACGGGTCGACGACTCCCTACCAGATTCACCTATATAAAAGGGGTACCGTGCCTCGACAGGGCAGCACATCACCGTTGGTACTTTAGGGCGAGTACTGGTTAGAAAATTTCCAGCAGCGCTTTTTCCACGCGATTAACCATGAGAACGATAGTGAGTATGAGCATTTAAGGATATTTTTCTGGTATCGTGATGGTGGTATGTCTATGAAAATTCATGCAAGATTTTGAAGGGATGGAGATTTGGATTCAGATGTAATAAAAGAAAAGAATGAGTGCAATCAAGTATTAATTAAATTGACATTCATTGATTGAGTATATATGATATATATTTGAATTTGATTATTAAAAATCTATTTTGAAATTTAATGATTTGAATGGATTTAATGGAAATAGTTGAATATTGTTTTTAATTTAAAAAAAAAAAAAGAAAATTGAGAGTATATTATATTTCCAGAAGATTCTATTCATTAGTCATATATTAAGTGCAATCATTATTTATTAATAATTAACCGATTTTTCCATACCATTAGTTTTCTCGTCATTGACACACTAACATCCCACATTCTTGCTCAAGCCTCTTTATATAAATAATCACATCTTCTTATTCACTGAAGCAACTATAAAAAGATTATTTCCACGCCCTATCACGCTCATCCACCTACTTTTTTTACACCTCTGTGCAAATTCTTATGTTAAAAATTTCAAATATTTATTTCAGATATAAAACCCATTGTACATTTCAATGTACAAATATTTCTCATTTCCTATTATGTATATACTTCCACCAATGTACTTCCTTCTATCTCTCTATTTTAATTATAATAATACTTATTTTAATTATAATAATTTATGCCTTACATCTTTATCCATGTTTTTTGCTGTATCTCATCCACACACACACTCTTTCTCAAGTTAATTATATAAAACTTCTTCAAAGTAATAGTTTCTCTACTTTCAATTTACAGATCATCCTTGCCACGATTTGCAGTGCAGCCATCGCAGAACCAGGATACGTGCGTTCGGTAATTCCGTACAGTTACCTGGAAGTTTTGGACACACCGGAAGTAGCACAAGCGAAAGCAGCCCATCTCGCGACTCAAGCGTACGAGGCGGCAAGGAACACGTTCGGATACGCTCACGTGCCAGCTTTAATCCATGTTTACACACCTGTATCTGGCGCGCCCCTCGGCGCTGATGGAAATGTTATCGATACGCCTGAGGTCGCGGAGGCGAAGGCTGCTCATCTGACCGCTCACGCACTGGTAATTGCGAGCAACTAAAAGATCTAGAAATGTAATAATTGGTATTGATTTAGATTAATATTTAAATCATGAGAAAAAAAATTCAAGAATCCATACTATTATTTCAAAATGGAGATATGGATAGGTAAAATTGGTGAATGAAAATTTTTGTCTTATTTCAGAGTGAAAAAATATTATAAATATATAATGGATACGATATGATTTAGTTTTAATTTTGTACAATTTTTTTATATTGAAGGAGACTGCAAAGAATCTAGGCCTCCATCCATATGGCGCCTTGGCTTTCGCTTCGCTACCTTATGCTTATAGATTTGGATATGGTGCCCCCATTGGTCCTGATGGTAGAGTGATAGACACTCCAGAAGTTGCAGCAGCGAAAGCAGCTCATTTGGCCGCGCATGAAGCTGCAAAACTTGCTAGTGACCCTTGACTATTTGAACAGAAATATTCGAAAGGAACAATGAAATAACCATAAAATAACTTTCTATTTCTTTATTCAATTATTGATTTATCGAAATGCGAACGAATAATGAACAATGATCGATGATTCTCGTTCTATATATCTTTGTCAATATAAAATGATCTTAGGATTTTAAATGATTAAATATTATACCTCGAAAAAAGAAAACCAAGTAGCAAAAATAATATATGATTTTTATATGGATTTGATACGATGGAACTTAATAATAAATAATTTCTTTTTTATACAAACTATTATTTTCATCTATTATCTCTATTTTTAAAATAATTTTAATTTCTTTCAACCCATTAAATTTTGTTATGAATTATATTGACATTTTTTTGAACATATGATGAAATTTCTTATTGTAAGACTTCTTATTGTAAAGATATATTTGGACATATAATAAGTTCTATTTAATTTATTAAAGACATATAATTCATAGCATTAATACATTATAAGAATAAATGAATAATACTTAAAAGCTATTAGATAATAAAAAATATGAAGTTCGTGGAATATGAAATATTGAATGTGATTAAAATTTATAAATTTAAAATTTTCTTAATTAAACAATTAAAATTCTATAAATCTTAACGAAATTTATTATTATGTAACTCTTTGTTGTTCAAGAGCTTTACGCGCCATCATTAATATTCCTTCTCTTATTCGATTTCCGCCAATAAATCGAGAAGAATGTACAAAAGTAGCACCTTCAATTCCACAAACATTTACAAGTGCTTCATCTTGTAAACCTGCCCAAGATTCTGGTAAAAATAACCTATAAAACCAAGTTTACTTTGAGAATAATTAATTTTAACAATTCTAAAAGTTCAATCAATTATATAAATACCTGCACTTAAAACTATCAGGCTCCACAGGCACACATCTAAGTCTATAAGTATCATCTTTAAAAATCACATATTTCAATAAAGGTTTTATATTTTGTTCTTTTTCTATTGCAAAAAGATGCTGAAACCATGGTACACACTGTGATAATTCTATAATTTCTCCATTAGGATCAACCTATAAATATTTACGGTAATTTTTGCTTTAAAATATTTTTATGAAGTTTTAAACAAAAGACAATTTAAAATAACATAAAGAGAAAAATTAATCTTGCACAATATTGTAGAAAAAAAATCATTTCATGATATATTTTTATATAAGTAAATTAATAATCACATATTCTAATGCTTGACTGTATTCAACTCTATTTAATCAATATGTTATTCTATTCAAATTCATGTAAATGTCATTTCAAAGATGCATAGTAATTTGTTTACAACAAAAATGCTATTATTATTAATTACAAAATTGTAAAGATAGATAATCTGTTTTATTTACCTCAAAGCGTTTTGCAATAGCTTCTTCTACAATAGATCTAGCTGGTAACCAAACATTTGCTGTATAATTTACATGTTGTACAAAATCTTGGCCAGTTAATTCCATTGCTTTTAAAAATTGAGTATTAGGATTAAGATCTTTGCTATTCCATGGTGGATTTAAGAATTTAACACGAGAAGATAAATCTGTTACAATTTGATATCTAAAATGTATAACATAACATAAAATATTAAATATATATATTTTAAGTATAAAATAAAGCTTACTTACTTAGCACTTTCATTACATATAGAAATTCCATTATCTATATTATCAATTTCTTGAATGAATGTATTATAAATATGTTTAAAAATTATTTCTATGTCATTATCGCTTGCTTGTGGAATTAATTCCTTGATAATTTCATGACCAAAATGACAATATATTAAACCAGCACTACTTAATTTTACTTTCCAATCATAACCTGGTTTCTTAATTATCGTGCTTACCGATTCATTAAAATCTCTAATTTATAAATAAAACTGAGTTATTTCATATTGATTTTTCTTTTTTAAAAATCAAGCCATACCTCATATGATGGTCATAACGATGCTTGCAAGGATTATATTCCGCACCAACATCAACCACAATGTCACAAGTATTTAAAATGTTCATATTCCGTGATCTAAAAATATATTTAATAAAATTTTTGTTTATTAACTCTAATGAATTTTAAAATCACAATATGATATTTTTTTATAAAAACATTTACAATTCTCGCTCCAAAATTACTTTATAAAAAATACCTTACCTTACTATAATTGCATCTTTATATCTTGGCAATGTTTTCAACATAAAACAAGCGAGTGCTTCATCACAATGAAAACAACCATCATGAGTTCCGATTTTCACATGTTCTGTCATTGTTACAAATTTCTGTGACCACGTTGGCGTATAGGTTAAGTTACCTGATAGAGCAGATAGTTTCGTGAAATAGTTTCGTAAAATTGTACCAGAGATATTTTTAATCATATTCTCATTATAATGCAAATAAAATTTATGAAATACGATAAAATAATATAATATATATATATGTATATAATCTTGAATCACTTGGTTAATCCAAAGTATCACATGTGCTTTAATTAACTAATAAAAAGGTTATATGATTAATCAGAAACTATACATGTTAGTTAAATACACATATTTATTATACGAAAACATTTAATATCATTATTCATAATACAGATACATGTATCATTCATTTTAAATAAAAAAATTCAATTTTATATATTAATTTGTTATATGAAAAAAATAGATACATATAAGAAGTACATACCAAATATAAAAATTCGATTGAAAAAATCTTAAATTCGGGAATCAGCGCCATCTTCAGAGTATCGCAAATTAAACATATCAAGAAAAGATAAGAAAATAATAGAAAAAGAATAGAAATTGATCTTCTGCCATTTTTTGAATATAAAGATATCTTTTCAAAAACAAAATAAAATAGAATAAAAATTGATTATTAGCGCCATTTCTTAGAAACTTTTCAAATTTATATTTTTAGCGCTGATATTCAATTCTTACTCTATTTCTATCCTTTTCCTATTGTTTTCTCTTTTTATCTCTATTAGTTTCATTTGTGGCATTAAAGATGACGCTAATTCCAAAATTTTTATCCTATCTGTGTCTTTTTTTCATTATATAGTCTCTATGTCTATATTATCACGAGACCGCAAATAAGGTATGGGATGTCAATTCAATGTCTTTCATTTTCTTCTTTTTCCAAATGTTTTAATCTTTAATTTGAAAAAGAATAAACGTTACATTTTTTGATTTTATTATTAAAATGATAATTAGAACTCAAAACAAAATACTCTAAAAATTGACGCGATAATAATTAAAATTTTATTCTGATTAAATCGAATTGGTAAAGTTAAGACATTAAAATAAATTGATATTAAAATTGAATTAAGTCTGTATTACTATATTACATATTATTGTTGTATTATTATTGTAATACTAATAATTTATTTATTTATTTTTTAAAGTAAATTATTTATTTTTAGAATAAAAGTATGACTTTGTATATATTGTTAAGTTAATATTATTATTAAATTATTGAAAAATTGTATTCATTAAAAGTATGGAAAATGTGAAATTAAATAAATATATTTTTCTTGATGGTACGATGTTCGAATAGAAATATTTTCTCATATTTTATTATTTTAGGCAACAATAATAATTACGATACCGTGGCCTATTACTTAAAAGATGATTATATTTACAATTATTAAAAATATCTATACGTAAAATTATACATCGATCAAATTAAATTACGAACTATCTCTTTTTGATAATTGAAATATTTAGGAACAAAAGTTAAATTAATCTTGTGCTCTACGCTCAATATTAAAGTAAATTATTCTTTAGTAAAAATTTTGTTGTCACATTCATTTTAAAAATTACAAATAATTTTCCTTGGTATAAATATGAAGAAGAATCTATATCAACAATAATGCTCTAAATCGATAAAATAAATAGAAAAAAAAAAAAAAAATTTAAAAAGAGAGAGAAAAATTATCGTGCAGCTAGACAATCATAAAGACAAAATAATTGCACGCAGTTTACAATTATTATTAACGCAGTATAAGGTTTCTTACATCGATAACATGTAACTCTACAGAGAGACACAGATATTTACAGAAACCATCAAATGTACACGTTGAAACTTTTCTCTATATATTCTACACACTTATCAATTTTAACTATCTAAAAATCGCAAAAATTGGAACGGAATAAATTCACATGTAAATATATTATATATATTACAAATATTAATAATATTATATATTATTAATATTATTAATATTATATATATATAAAATATATGATGTTGTATTATTGTATGATAATCTATTTATACATTTAACAATATCGATAGGAATTTCAATTCGAAATTATTTTTTTTCCGCTAAGAGAAATGAAAATGTAGGGATGTTATTAGGATATGAATATAGATAAATTCACAAAGACACGATTGCTTAGAGAAATTACTCCATCAATATAGGGATTTAAATATTTCTCCAAAATGCTTCCTGCATTTCTTTCTTCTTGTCTTTTTTTTTTTTTTTTTTTTTTTTAATTATTACTATACATTCTCATTAATCTACTCATGCAGTTGCATCTAATCAGCTAATACAAATATTCGATCGTAATATATGAGTTTGTTGAGCAATGTATAACAGATTTATTGCTGTTTCGCTAGATAGAACACATCAATTTGTCGTGGAAATAATCGATGCAATGTAGGAACCGACAAAATTTCCTATTTATCCTAAAAAAAAATCGACAGAACTTGCAAAACTGTCAGATTTTGATTGCAAAATTATCATCTCTTTATCATATTTTTATCATGATTAATGATAATGCAAACCACGATTATCTCACGTTAATATTTGAACGCTGCTGTATTACGAGTTTTATAATATATTTTGAAAATTTTATTTAGTACTTCTTGAAATAAAAAATAGTTTTTGAAATGATACATACATTACAAAGAAATAAATTAATTTCAAGAAGTAAATAAAAGTAAAAAGTAAATATAACTATAACATTGCACGATTCAAAATCGACTCTAATTTATCGATCGAACGAATTCTATTTTATCGACAGAGCTATAATCTATTTATAATTTTCGAATCGAATATTTTGAATATTTAAATTATTTCAGAACAATAACCTTCCACTATTTTTTCTTTTTTTACGTGTTCTCTCTATCGTTCTTTCTAAAAAACGGAAAACGCAATTCTGTAATCTCATTCATTGCTTAAAGTATTCTAAGCGTTGAAAAAGAATATAAAAAAAAAAAAAGAAAAGAAATAGGATCAGTCATCCATTTTTCCCATCTCGCGTGAGCTGCGTGTTCGAACAATCTATTCGAACGTATTAATTTTAATAAGTGTGAATCCATTATCATCATGTACAGGGGTTATGGCAAATACTTAAAGAAAGAGGTGATATCCTCTTCCACAGGAGAAAGACAGAGAAAGAGAAAGAGAAAGAGATCTTACATATTAACAATATACATAAATATACACTAGGGGAGGTTGTGGATTCACTAATTACCAAAATCAATGTTGTCAGCGACACGAAGGGAGAGCATGCAAATTTTCTTGAAAATCCTGACTCTTCTCATTACCACTGTCTTTTCAGGCATTTTTTGTTCTTAACATTATGGCGACAACTTTGGCTTTCTTCGTCAAAAATGGTGTCCTCTTCACACACGAATCGGAAATCGAGCACCTGCCTCGACGTAAATCCAGGAGAACAATAATGAAACAATCTACAGTCCCTATTGTCACCATAGAAACGGTACATCTCCTTCTCCAGGCAATTGAAACCATCTCTTCTTTTCAACGATGCCGATTTTCGACTCAAAGGCCTAATCGTTGTCGATTCCATTTCTTCAACATGTTCAGTCGTCGATGACTCTGAAGAAGTCATTATTTGAGGAGTTGAAGAGGTAACGGAAATTTCTGTCATATTTTGATCCATGAATTTGGTCGATGATGCAATCGATGTTTCATCTTGCGTAGTTGGATTTTGCGTGGTTGGAGATGATTCCTCGGGATAATCAGACTCGACGGAAGTAAAAGTGGTCGATAAAGCTGTTGTACTCAGGATTTCCACGTCTACCAAAGTAAAACTCTTAGAACTATTTGACTTCTCGGACTCGATGCTAGTAGATTCGATTTCCTTCAAATTTTTCTCAGTAGTGGAGGCAAGAGTAGTGGATAATCTGGAGATAGGATAAGGTGTGAAATTCTCTTCCTCATTTTCTTCCTTTTTGACATTTGTTGGGGACTTTTGCTCGCTTGGACTAGAGTCCTGATCATCCTTACTCTTTGCTGAAATGTTGTCTCTCTGTTCCGTCTCGTTAACAAACTTTAATTTGTCCTCAAGCACATTTTCTTCGTTTCCATCAGTTATATTAGTAATTATTGTTGACTCTGTAGTCGATATTTCCGTAGTTTCCATTAAACTGTCCTCCATAGCCGTCGTGATAGCCATCATAGTTGTTGGTTTACGAGTTAGCAAGGTGAGTTTTCTGATCACTGGTTTTGGTGCCAACTCGTTGTAAGATTTAGGTGGCTTTGCCGGTTTGGGATTGAGAAGACTTATTCTAGGTTTGATTATCACGGGATTTGGAGTCGTCGTTGGAGGTATGTAATTATAATTTTTCCTAGCAGAGATTGGTTTGAATAATTTTGGAGGTGTAGGTCGAACAGTTGTTGTTGTAGTAGTGGTTGTTGTTGTTGTTGTGGTTGTTGACGTTGTAGTCTGTAATAAGTCTGTCTTCTCCATGTTAAAGTCTTCTGGATTCTCAGTTCCCTCATTTTTTTCAGACTCCGTCGTAGTTTCCAATACGTCTTCTTCAATTTTCTCATTAGTGTCCTCTATTTTTCTATCAGCCAACATTTCTTTGTTACTCTTCTCGTCGCTTAGACTATTAGAGTTTGAAGATTCGCGTTCTTTATAATTATCAGGCTCGTAATTATCATCAACGTAATCATGCGCGGTATTATCTACAATTTCCGACGATTTCTTAGATTCCAATATATCTTCTCTTCTATCCTTAGGTAATTCATCGGTGAATTTAAGAACCCCTTCGGTACTTTCTTCCTGATCGCTCAAAATACGTTCCTCGAGGATTTCTTCCTTGGCACTTGGCGTTTCTTCGGAAATAGTATGTTCCAAGGAAGAAATAGTGGTGTCTTCGGAATTTTCAGAATCTCTATAGTCGTTATCTTCATCCATTTCGTAAGTACTTTCATAAAATGCCTCGGTAGAGTCATGATGCTCTATCGAATCTTCTTGAGAATTGATTTCTTCCTTCTTAGTCGTAGAATACTCTTTTTCTCCTTCCTCTTCCTCGCTTTCAATTTTCGTGTTTTCATCCTTCGGTTCATGAGAGAAATCTTCTTCTGAAGAATTTTCGAGCTTTTTCGTGTTTTTCTCCTCGCGAGAATTTTTGGTTACTTCGTAGCTATCTTCTACAAAATCTTCGTCATTGAGAACTGTGGTCGATTCGTCTTCCACACTTTCACGTTCAATCGAAGAATTCTTCTTAAGCGTTTCAGGCTTTTGTTCCATTTCTTCGTCAAATTTTGTTTCCTCGGTTTCCTTTTTTTCTTCGATTTGTGCTTCATCAAAATTCACGTTCTCTTCATCTTCCAAAATTTTCTTGAACTCTTCTTCATACGTTTCCAAAGTTTTAGATTGCTTTTCTGAGGTCTCGTAGTCGTTAACCTCGCCTTTTCGATTCTCTTTCCCTGAATCCTGATCCTTACCGGTCTGCAGACTCTTTAAATAACCACCATGGTCGTTCACAGCTCTGGTATCGACTTCCTTTGAAGTTTGAGATTCTGGTTCCTCAAATATATTCTTGTCAATCTGTTCAACCTCAGAATTCACTCTCGTTGTACTTGTTTCCACATTTTGTTCAGGAAGATTATCATCAGTTGATTTGACAGATTCGTTATTCTCAGTTTTATTTTCCTTCTTCCTTGAAGATACTTTTCCTCTAGATCTGATCCTCAAACTTTTTCTTCCCGCAATTGGCTTCGACTCTTTTAATTTTTCTCTTCTTCTTTCGTCTTCTACGTTTTCTTCGCGATCACTTTCCACCTCTTTCGACTGCGTTTTATCTTCAACAATGTCACGTTGATCTTTTGAATTTTTCGAATCTTGCCTATGTATAGACTCTCTTTCCATCTTAATACTTGTCTCTTCAGTCGTGAAAAGTTTTGGAATCTCCGTGGAAACGTGCTCTCTTTCCGTCGTGTTCGAAAAAGTTTGTGCATCCTTGGATTTCGAATATTCTTTTGGATCAAGAATAACCACGTCGATGATTCGTTCCGGCTTTTTGACCTCGATCTTATCTCTCTCACTTTCGTCGTTAATCTTCCCCTTCTCGTTCGAAATTTCTTGTTCCTCTTCTTCGTCCATTTCTTCACTATCTTCCTTCAAATCTGATTCAATTGTTCCCCCCTCATCCACATCAATATATTCTTCACCGTCGGACTCCTTACTATCCGATCTCAAAGGAATATCAAATTCCTGTGACTGTTCATCGGATTTATCCCTTTCATCCTGCTCCTCCTCCTCGATATCATCCTCGTATTCCCTGGCCTTGAAGTTCTTGGAAGCCTTCGTTTCTAGATCCTCCAGTTCCGAATCCTTCCCCTCGATATTTTTATCAGAGCCAATTCCCTGTAACCTGCTCCCCTCGAAGACATTACGAATAGCCTCCTCCGTGAACTCGTCCCCGAACAAGATATCCCTGAACCTCATCAGACTCTCTTTGAACGATCGAAAATCCTTTGTGTCACTTTCATTCTCAACGTTTTTGCTACTCGAGCTTGCCACTTCCTCCCTATCCTGTTTCTTCCTAGAATCTTCATCATAAGCGAAAGAAACCATAGAATTCTTCGATCTCTTCACTCTCCAACCACTCTTCCCTTCGTTAACCACCGTACGAACACGTCTGCTGTTCCGAATTTTAGGAACGTCCCTGTAGAAAGGATCAAACGACTCGTCCCCCTCCTTGTAATCGTCATAACTGGCTGGGATGGTTGGAAGCGGAAGAGTGACCAACTGGGTGGTGTTCAGAGGTCTGCCAGATTCGTCGCTGACGCTTGCCTTGGCCGTTACGATTACCCTGGATTGAGAAGGTAGCAAGGAGGACGGGTTTTGGATTATTCTTTGAAGATCGGGTGGCGGCAGGTTGATAGTGATCTGATGGGGCTTCAATTGAGGGATAGGTATAGGGGGCAGCACGTGTATGTGCTGGGTGACTTGTTCATTGGTGGGTTGAGAGGTTTGGGGCGGCTTTGACGAAGTTCTCGGGGTCGGGTAGAAGGATCTGATGGTCGTTTCGTCGGTTGCAGGCGTTGGAAGGAAGCTTCCCGAGATTCTTTGCTGTTGGGAGCTCTGGCTGTTGGTTTTCGTTTGCCCCGATCGCGGCGATTCCGACGTTGGCACAGGCGATATAGTCAACTTCGAGATCTGAAAACGACGAGTTATTTAGAATAAGAGATAAACAGGATAATCGAAATAAAATTAATAATAAAAATGATAATTTGGTTTTGATCCTGATCGATCACCTTTCCCTTATTAGTCGATTGGATAGCCTCCAAAGGTCTGATATTGTGCTCCCCGTGTTCGCGATACTGGGAAGTCTCTCTAGGATTGTTACTGTGGATAAATTGTTCCGTGGTACTAGCTATTCCATGGTTATGAAAAATAGGATTTATCACGCCGTTCCCATTGCTGTTCAACAACGTTTGAATGGTCGACGAGGTTGCGTGGAACAACGGCGTGACCGTGGACGGTTCGTTGTTATGGATGATCTGAGGATTCGAAGTGGAGCTGAATCTAATCTGATGGACCTGGGGCGGTTGAACGGTTGTGGAGCCGACTCCTTGGTTGCTGAACAATTGATACGAAGTTGCTTGCTGATTATTGCTCCTTTCCCCGTTGTGAAAGATGTACTGGTGATGGTATCCGCCATTCTTATCGTCATAAAGGGACTTGGACTGGCTGGTATGGACTTGAGGGAAGGGAGGCTGGGGTTGATAGTGTTGGGGATAGCCGGTGGGATGGGAAAAGGAATTGGAAGCTGGAGTGGTGGACGGTTTGCTTGGTTTCGAGGTTGTCGTGCTGGTCGTTGTTGTGGTGGGTCGTGCCGACGTGGTGCGTTGGTGATCGTCAGTTGGATCCGGTTGATCGACGTCGTCCTCGTTGTTTTCGTGCAAACTACAAACAGTTTTTGAATTTTAGAGCATTATTTATTCTATGTGTGTTATTATCACGTCAAATAGAGAAAAAAGAGCCAATTTGAATTTTCTCTTTTTCTTTAACTTTGATATCTCTTGAGAGAAGGATTCGTGAGCATACGATGTACGAAACGGTAAAAGGCGAGGAATGATTGATGGAAAATAAGTACACGACACACGAGCGATTACCACGCCTCTTTTACCACGAGCGAGCCACGTAAATAAAATCGACACGTATGCGTGTTAATGCACCTTTGGTCCTTACGAAATACGAATGGACGGGTGAACGTCCAGACGGTCGTTAGCAAACATTTCGTGCGCGACAAGTGAACCGAGTCGCGACAATAACTATTTTCACTTCGCGGCAATTCCCGTTCGCGAAAATGTAAAATGTTGTAGATTCGATAAATTTTATTTTGGAAGGGAAGCTTTCAAATAATTGAAAGTAGATAATTTCTTCGATATGATATATTCTTTTTTATTTAAAAGAAGAAAAAAAAAAGGAATAATTGAAATCGATTAAGTTTGAAGAAATTAAATTAATCGAAAATATTGCCTGAATCTCACCTGAGAGTGACCGCGTTGTTTCCATAGAGTTCCAAATTCAGGTTGTAGAATCGCTCGCTCTTGCTGCAATCGACCTCGTCAACCCTCTCGCAAACCCTGGTTTCCTGATCGAACACGGTCCCGTTCAGACAGAGGAACTTTATGTCCATAATCTCGTCTGAAACCAAGTCTCATGGTGAAGGACAGGGTGATTATTCGGGGATGCTCTTTTTTTGGGTCACTCGTTTCAACGCCTTTTACTTGAATCTTATTTTAATTTAAATTATATACACAAATAAATTATAAGATCTTTTTATAACAAGTTTTAACGCGATACGATAAGTGATATGATAATAGGAATTTTTTAAGGAGATATAGCGACAGAAGGATGACATCAACAAAAACACGTAAAGATTCGTACGAAACAAATTTCATTATGTATATGACGTGAAAAAAGTGTAATAAAATTTCCAAAAATAATTCATTAAAAATATGATAAATAGGGGAGGGGGGGGGGAGAAACGGACATCGTGTTTTAACAAAAGAGATACATCATCAAAGGTTAGACGATCGTGAGGATCGAAGCCAGACGTTCTCGACTTAGGTCAGTAAACGTTCCTCGACGACCGTGACATTCTCTTCGGAATGATCTCTCGATCGATTACAAAACTTGGATCAACGCTAGCCAGCCTCCCAGGGCGGGCCTCTCGATCCTTCGATCGAGATCTATTTGTCTAATCACGCCTGTTCTGCTCCATTCCGCTCTGTTAACTTAATTATCGATTCTAATTGCGCCGTGGCGCAAAGTTAAATCGATCGATCGATCGTCTAAGGATCTTCGAACGATAAATCGTTTCGATTTAACGTTGATTAAAAAAAATTTTTTTTTTTTCTATGGGAAGCAAGCACAAAGATGACACGAAGATTTCTTCAGTTGGGATTGGTTTGATTAAATTCTTTTTTTTTTTTTTAAGATATTTCTTTTCTTTTTTTGCTGAATTACCTTTTTGACCGATGGTGCAAACGTGGAACATTTGACATCCGACTTCAACGTCGGCGTAATATCCACCGATCACTTTCCCCTGGCACGAGAAATTCGTCTCTGGCAAATTGTCGAAGTCCAAATACTTGAGAAGACAATATATATGAATACGTAACGATTAATTTAAATGATATACAAAAATAAATAAATAAAAATCACTCACGCCAGGTTCCCCCGCGCTGCATAACAAGGAGCCATGCTGGAGGTTGAGAATCGACAATAAAACTGCAACCGAATAAATCATTTACAGGAAAATTAATTACAATTTTTGATAAAATGGATGGATGGAATGGATAGAAATTTGGTGAAAAATTTGATGAAAGAAGGAAATAAAAGGAAATAAGAAAATGGCGCAGGATACAAGTGTCGCGGGAAAGGAAAAGTGTATTCTCAATTCACGCAAGGGAAAAACGAAAGAAAGGACTGCGCGTGTTCAGCGCGAGGATAATTTACCGGACTAATTTATAGTTTGCGTAATACTCCTATTCGGAGACCCTGTTACACCAGTTGCAGTTATAATTACAAACAACTATCAACACGCACCTAGGTCGTTGCTCTGGAACATTCCATGCCTGTTTCATAAATTTTATCTATTTTTAACTAATGCTGTAAATAATTTTATAAACTTTAGTTACGTTGGTAAATAGCTTGTTATCGAATCGAATATTAAAAAAATACGAATAATTATATACAAAGTATTTTAGTTATATAAAATTATGGTAAACTTGATGCAAAGGAGAATAATTTCATAAATTGTAATTTTAAGAATTTATTAAAGAAAGAATAATTGTAAAAGTTTCCAATTTTTTCAAAATCAAAAATTTAAACAATTTTTCACGATATAAGCAATTTTATAAACGATAATTTTGGTTACGTTGGTAAATAGCATGTTGAATCGAATATTAAAAAAATACGAATAATTATAAACAAAGTATTTTAGTTATATAAAATTATGGTAAACTTGATGCAAAGAAGAATAATTTCATAAATTGTAATTTTAAGAATTTATTAAAGAAAGAATAATTGTAAAAGTTTCCAATTTTTTCAAAATCAAAAATTTAAACAATTTTACACGATATAAGCAATTTTATAAACGATAATTTTGGTTACGTTGGTAAATAGCTTGTTGAATCGAATTGAATATTAAAAAAAAAATACGAATAATTGTTGCACAAAATATTTTAGTTATATAAAATTATGGTAAACTTGATGCAAAGAAGAATATTTTTATAAATTGTAATTTTAAGAACTTATTAAAGAAAGAATAATTGTAAAAGTTTTTTCAAAATCAAAAATTTAAATTTTACACGATATAAGCAATTTTATAAACGATAATTTTGGTTACGTTGGTAAATAGCTTGTTGAATCGAATAAATATTAAAAAAAAATACGAATAATTGTTGCACAAAGTATTTTAGTTATATAAAATTATGGTAAACTTGATGCAAAGAAGAATAATTTCATAAACTGTAATTTTAAGAACTTATTAAAGAAAGAATAATTGTAAAAGTTTTCAATTTTTTCAAAATCAAAAATTTTCAAAATAAAAATATTCAAATTTGCTTAAACAGAACAATTCCTAAAATTTGTTTAAGGATTCAATCTCAACCTCTTCTTCAGCAAAATGTTAGACCTACATCTACACTGGAGGAGAGAAAGAATACGCATAAGGCAGGGCCGATTTCAGAATCATCTGTCACCGGATCCGCGCAGGGCATTGATTTCAATCGCGGGAAAAAAAAAAATGATTGTTGAATAAAATAGAATGCAGCAGAGCGGGGAGAATCGATCGGCGATCGAGTGGCCAGTTATAGGCCGAGGTCATCCGGTGTGGACGAGGGGCCATCCAATCAGAAAAGAGATCTGGTCGATCTCTCGCGAATCTAATATTCGTGATCGAGGTCTTTTGCATAGCTGCAATCGATTTCCATGATATTGCTTTGATTAATTCGATCGGGCGAAAAACGGAAGCCTCTTTAGAGTTAATAAGAAAGGATACGAGTAATTCTTATTTAATAATTTGACTTTCGAGATCGTTGAGGTGATTAACGATGATTCAGTTAATCTTTACATTGTGGAAGATTGGCTATGTTAAGAGAGAGAGAGAGAGAGGGGGGGGGGAGGGGGCGATTATGATATAAGGTGAAATTGAAGAGACTTGATTGGAAATTGCATAAACTGCATTAGAGTTGATTGAATATTCCTTTTCAGGCGTATTAATGCTGTTAAAGTTGTCAAGGTAATTTTGGAATGTTGTTGGAAGTTGTAAAAGAATAAATTGGATATAAAAACTTTAATGAAATAAGATATAAATTCTTTGGATAGAAATAAATTTCACTTGTATAATGGTCATGGAACAATTATAATGTATTTGTATTTTGAAACGATATTTGTTTTTAGGATAATAGGATTTGTTTAAGGATAATAAATTTTGTTCAAAAAAGAAGAAGAAGAAGAACTAGAAGAAGAAGAAGAAGAAGAAGAAGAAGAAAAAGAAAAAGCATAATTTTGATTTCTACGATGGAATTCCAAGTATATCTAGACTTTCCATTTCTTTCTCCTTTCCCTTTCCAAATCTTCGTAATATATTCCTTTTTATGTCCACTTTAACGAATCATTAATAATTTTGTTTCGCATGTACAGTATCATTAATCCAGATGCTTAACAAGTTTTTTTTTATTCCAAATATAGTAAAAGCACGATCATTTATTAGAAAGCGAGATATTTATTAATAATAAAAAGGAATAAACGGATATTTCAAAGTCTTTTTTTTGTCATCATTAAAATCATTAAATGAATCTACGATTTAGAATGTGCACGCAAAAAGTTTTTATCGATTATTGAAAATTTAGGATTGAAAATTAAGGAGGAAAAAATGCTTAACATTTATTAAGCTATATTCAATAATGACGAATTAATGTAATGCGAAAACAAATGAAAAATATATTTTTTTCACAGACTCTCACCTCTAAACCCGATAATCGTTCTGTCATCTCTAGAAAGCTGTGCAAAATTATTAATGACATTGCTTCTAGAGAAATTGATGGAAACTATAGTGACATAATCAAAAATACCTAAGCGAAAGGTCAACGAATTTCCAAAGAAATTTTGATCGAGGAAATTAAGATTTAATTATTTCGAATTGGAATAATTTGTACAAAATTAGAACTTTCTTTATCAACAATAAGCAAACTTCTTCAAACTTCTCAAAACGTTACCATTACATGAAATTACAATTGTTACAAAGTAACACGATCAATTGTTGATTAACAGTTACAAAGTTCCAAACTTTTATCGATTAAAATTAAATTATCCTTCTCGATTACTCTTCTCTCAACATAATTTCAAACTACTAATTGACAGAAGAAAAAAAAAAAGTAAGTAATCATCGACTGTGAGTTAACAGACACAACAAACTTCCGTACCGTTCATTAACTAAAATTGGATTATTACCGCTCAAACATCTTTTCAAACATCTTCCAACACCGTACAACCGTCTCATTCAATTATCAACATTAGAAATCGGCACGAGATCACACGTTCCACTTCCCGAGCACGAAGCTCGATTCCTTATCGGGTGCACAAACATATCCAAACGAGATCCAACCGAGTATATGTATATATATAAAGCGATCAATTTATATCCAATAAATAATTGGACGTTAAAGGGGGATATAATCAAGGATCATCAAATGATCGTTACCGGTCATCGGCACTTATTTCGTAACATCCTTCGTCCAAAGATTCTCCGTAATTTCTCCGCCATTCAGATTCCACTCCTTAACTTAAGTTCGTTGTTATAATCCATCTCCTCCTCTCTTCTTCCCCCCTAGTTTTTTTTCCCCTCCATCCACAGCCGTCTTACACCTCTGTCTTCATTCTTCTTCGCAGTAGCATCTGGTCTGACTAGGCAGTGATATAATCCCTTCAGCATGTAACGCCTGTGTGTGAATCCCGTGACATTTAGATCTGCCAACTGGCCGACCCGACTCGTCTCTACGACGGACAAGTTCTTGACAGTTGGACGCTTTTCGTCCAGTATGTATAGTGGGAATTTCAAGGGATAAGAAACACGTGCTATAAGATCGATTGTTTTACAAAATCGTATGATCAAACTTTTTTTTTGATCATACCAATTTGAATTGGAAATTCGATTCGTTTATTAATCTTTTTTTGTCAAAATTTATTTTAGAGTGCTTTCTTTTTTTTTATATATCAACCAAGTTAAAATATCATATTAGATATTCAATTTCTATTCTAATATATCGTATATGATGCATTCTATTGAAAATATAAGATTCCTCGATGTCGTGTTCTGCTAAAATTTTAAAAGATTATAATTTTTTTTTTTTATAAGAAGATTTAAGTATTTCGTTAAACTGCTTTCATGCATCGTCCAATAAGAAATGAAAAGTAGTAATCTTAAATCGCCGATTACACAAGATTATGCAAATTATATTCTGTTTAATTTTCCGGATACTTACTACGCGCTGCTTGCCTATGGGAAATTCGTTCGGGTAAAGTTTCTAACGTGTAGGTGTACAAATGATTTCCGTTTGTTTAACGAGCCTCAATTTATGGAAACGAGCCATAGTCGGATCATAATGGAATTAAAGTATCTCGTAATCACGAGAATCGTAATCATTTCAATCATTCATCTCATAATTCAATTACTTACTAATAATAAATAATTTCTATAAAAATTGTCTCCTAATTTTATCTCCATTATCCAAATTGTAATTGGAAAGTTAAAAATTGTATAATTTGATTAATAAGAAATTGAATTGATCGAACGATACGATCGATTTGGGAACGTGTGATCGGAATCGATTATTATTAGGAATCGTGACAATCGGAATTTCTCACGAGTTATCAAACGAACGGAGACAATTAACACCTACGATGGTATTCATGGTCGAAGATCGACAATAGGGCAATTAAATCTTGAGAAATAAATAAAATAAGCAAAAAGTAGAAAACGTAGCTTGAGGTCTGATTAGTATGATATGTGGAAATATGGAGATTAATAAGGTTTTGAAAGAGATGGAATTTTTTTTCAATATTTTCAACATTCTCGAGGAAGATGGTGTTGTTCTTCGCGAAGTGAACGAAGAAGAAGAAACCGAGGCCCGATTATCGCAACAGTTACAGCCATTACCGTGATATTACCGTTACAGTAGCGTCTCTACAGATATTGCTACATCCACCGAGAAAATTGCTCAATT